TGCTCTTCCGATCTTGGGCTATAGCCCACCAAAATGGCCAAAAATGACCGATTTTTGATGAAAAAGCATGGGCTATAGCCCACCAAAATGGCCAAAAATGACCGATTTTTGATCAAAATGCATGGGCTATAGCCCACCAAAATGTACAAAAATGACCGATTTTTGATCAAAATGCATGGGCTATAGTCCACMAAAATGRCCAAAAATGAMCGATTTTTGATCAAAATGCATGGGCTCTAGCCCACCAAAATGGCCAAAAATGACCGATTTTTGATCAAAATGATTATATGAATTGTAAAATATATGGATGTTTGGCAACAAGACATTGAATAATTACGACAGTTTCTTTCAGGTTCTTTTGGTTTATGTTTTTTACCGTGTGAACCCTTTCAATATTTTTGAAAATTGATGAAGTTATATATTTTTGTGATCATTGGTAAATTGGGATAAATGGATATTTTGAGCACTGTCTATAGATCTTACACATATCAAACTCGTTGTTTGCTTTGTATGTTTGAGTTTGTATATTTTTTAAGGGACCACACATATGTATCAATTATGTTTATTATTTATTGATTAAGTATTTTTCACTTCCATTGAGGTAAATGCTGTGCAGATCTCTTCTCTTTTACGGGACCGTATTTTAGCTGTTAGTCCGTCGATCTTTTCGCTTTTTTAGCAGGTATATATATTGTCCATCATAACTATCTAGGGCTATCAAGTGTCTTTGTTAAAGGTTGAGTTGGTAGTCAGTGTTCCAGTTCTTTTACCAGTCACTGGTTGGCTTAATCTAAAAATATATTTCAACAATTTCACGGAAAGAGAAAACTGAGTTATGCAATACATCTTTATTGTATCAAGTTAATGCATTGGGTTAATCTTGGCAAAAAGGCTATAGACGACGCCATTGTCGACATGACTTGAACGACCCACAGTTTTCTTGAGTAGAGTGCCTTGTGGAAGGATTTGGTTACTGTTTTTATCGAGAATAAGGGAAGAGAATAGAAGAATGGATAGAATAGTCTTCATAATTCTTGTCGTGGAAATCACAATAATGTTTTACAGGGATGTTTTCGCTGGTGGTAAGTCTTGATCATAGCACCTGTTCCTTGCTTGGAAAACACTAATGCACTATTTGGCCTAATTAAATAGAATCATAGACTGATTAAGAATATTTTAATGCAAACCTGAAGAGCAACAACAACTAGTGTCTTTACTTACTAATCTTAATTCCCTCGCTTCACCCGAATTATCATTGTTCACGCTTCAAAACATTATCGTAAAACTTATGACATTATTAAGGGAAGTACATGGATCTATGATTAAAATTTGTCATTGGATATTTTTAGGTMATTTTTATGAAGTTTTGTAGAGTCATTTTGAACCGTCTGTGAAACAATTACTACTAGTCAGTGTTTAATAGTAACTATTACGGTGTAGTAGGCCCTACCAAAAGGAAAAATCAAAACCGTGTTTGCCTAGGTTAAACTACTGGGGGCATAATAGTACAATTCCTGTTTCATAGACGGACGAAAATGACTCTATCGATAAGAAAATGGCAATGAATGAATTATTAGCAAAAGGAACAGCCACTTTGTTTATATCATTCACGTTGTTACGAAAACAGAAACTGGTACATGTCCTTTACCAGCAGCTTTGTTTTGGTTGAAACATGGGGCTTTACTCTTCTCATTGTTCTTGAGCTATTTTTATACTTTGCTATAATTAAAAGCTGCACACGAATGTTATTTCAAGCATATGGAACTCAGTTTTTATTTGTTAACGCTACTTTAAAATTGCACAGGTGCCTTGCTAAAAAAAATAGTTCCTCGTCCAGCTGAGTTTTAATAGCCTTAGGCCTGTATTCATTGATTAGGGTTAAAAGCAATGTATAAAAAATGTGGTTATTGTCAAACGGGTTTTCTTTTTTGGATATCAGATTGTGGCGTGCGATCAGCGTATGCAGATCAACTTATTGGAGACAAGAGAATAACAGGTAACGAGACTACTAAGAAATGCATGAATGAATAAATGAAATTAGTAAAATAAAGAATGGATGGAAGGGAGTACGGTGACTTCAGAAAACAATAACATTTAACGGAATAAATATAATTAATACAGTTATTTTCATTATAAAATACTCTTAAATTCCCATGTACGACGTAAATCAAAACACTTATGAGTACCTTCTCCGTTGTCCCCAAGATGGTTATTTGCATATTCTTGATTGACAGGTGGTCAGGAGTCAATGCCAGGGGCGTGGCCGTGGATGGCAGCACTATATGTAGACGGTCCTCCAGTATTTTTCAAATGTGGAGCTGCTTTGCTTTCCGAAAGATGGGTGATAACTGCTGGTCATTGTGGATTGATTGCCAACGGGCTCGCACTAGCTGGTGCTCATACAATGCCTTCTCGTATTAGAGTTAGTATACTGACAGGGGGACCCAAAGTATTTATGTGTATTGTACTTATATATGGTTAATATACGGACTTGGGTACTGTGATTCTGTATAGTTTATTATTCTGGATAATTAATAGCCTTCTGAAGCTTTTAGGTAATGTCCTTGATTTTGAATCCATTGTGCGATCAGTTTCTGAAAAAAAGAAAGAAGTCCGCCATGTTGTGTCCGGAAGATATCCTACAATGCATTGCGAATATGGTTATGACGTAAAAGTTTCAGAGATCTATTTGGATAACGGATTGCCGCGGATTCCGTGATTATATTTCTACTGTCTTATGCCGTTTGTTTTTCAGGTTCGTCTTGGTGAGCACAATCTCAACGCTGCGTCTGGTTCGGAGCAGGAGATCATAGCGAATAAAGTCATCTTTCATCCTAAATGGGACATACTTACAAAACCATCAAGTAAAGGACCTAAAACCGTATCGATATATGATATGATGTTAGTTGAACTAAAGGAACCAGCTAAAATAACCGCACAAGTTTCACCTATATGTTTGTCGACCCAGTCATTTCCGCCAGGTAACATGCGATTGTATGTATTGGATTGTACTCATCCCTACAACCTCACCTTTCCTGTCCAATCCTCACTTACAAACAAGCTAAGACCACATGTTATTGGCATTATTCAGCTACAATAATTCCTTGGGTACCTACAAAAGAACTTTCTTTCCTCGTTGAACTAAACTTGTAGTGTGTAATGAATTGTTTGTTAAGCCCCGTTTACACTTGCGATTTTTGAAGAGTTATTCTCGACCTGAATTGATAACATGCTTTAAAATTGGCTGCAACTTCGCGGTGATTTTCCTTCGTCGCAACAATCGCAGGGCTGTTTACACGTACGATTTGAGTTGAGCGATAGCAAAGTGGCGATTATCACGCTGCAAAAGTCGTAAATGTAAACGGGACTTTAGAAAAATCATTCCCATTTACCAATTCAGTTTAATTTATCCAGTCGTCCAACCATTCATTCATCTATCCATTTATTGGTTCATCTATTCGTTTAATGATTATTAATGATATATATGTAACAGGAAAGATGTGTCATATCGCTGGGTGGGGAAATGAGAAAGTCAATGGTCCTGTGCATGGAACATTACATGAAGCAGCCATACCTGTAGTTACCCAACAAGAATGCAACAAACCAGAATCATACTGTGGATCTATCACCGATGACCTGGTTTGTGCTGGATTCCTTCAAGGTGGCAAAGACACCTGTGAGGGGGATAGTGGAGGTAATCATTGAAGCCTAGTACCCAGTCTTTTCCCGGTTCTCAATCGTGACGTTCTTTTGATGGTGTCTAAAGGCCAGTTTGCACTTGTCGCGCGACCATCGCCTGAGYTTCGAACATGCTTGAAATTTAGCTGCAATTTCGCTTCGATTGACTGTTCACACCTACGATTTTAGTTGTGCGATAGCAAAGTGGCGATTATCGCGCGACAATGAAATGGGGCTGCAAAAATCGAAAGTGTAAACCGGCCTTAAAGGCATCACAACAATAAACAAGTATTGTTTGTTTTCAGGCCCTCTTATGTGTAAAGGGAACGACCAACGATGGTACATAGCTGGGGTGGCATCATTTGGTCATACAGAGTGCGGAATACCTCACAAGTATGGTATATACTCCAAGATAGCGACCTCAATAGAATGGATTACTAACAATACTGGAATAACACTTCCAGTGAACACTATGAACGACTACAACCCTTATAGTTATAATAATTACAATATATGGAACCCCTTTGGATAGACTGTTGGGCTTCCTGTGAGCATCAATGCCGAGATATACTGGGACAAGTACAAGAAATAACATCATCAAAGCAATTTATGTTGAAATGCATTGTTGGCTAAAAATAAAAGACAATTACTTCTTATTATCATTATTTTAATGTTGAAACTTTTCAATAAAATCTACATTTATGTTTCTATTGTACAGGATATTGTATTTACAACTAGCAGAATCGTACATCCGTGAAACATATTGAATATATCAATGTATTTCACGGATTTGCAAGGGAAAAGGTTACCCAATGAGACAAACAATCCGGGAGTCGAATCGAGTTAAATGATTGGTCTCGGCGTTGTATTCATGTTCTCATGGTTTGCGCTCAGCCCTCGTAGTGCTGGCGAGTTGACACAACTTTACAAAAGCTAGTTAAATGAACGAGTTGAAACTTTAAAAAGTCTCAAGAATAATAATCTTTAGTTATTGCTAACACCTGTTATTCAATTAAAAGCCTTTGAAGAATAAATCAACCTGGTCCATTGTGTTTCTTAGGATCTACATTACATAGATAGGATTAGTTTGTCAATGAACAAAGCTAATCACGGAGTACACTATGTCTGTTATTACCGCTTCTTGTATTGATGTAGCTTTTAACAATATGACAACGCTACGACAACAAAGATTTTTACATTGTTTTAGATGTGATTTGTATAAATACTAGGCTTTGAACAGATGATCTAGAAAGCAGTTTTCTAATCGGTTTACGATTCAATGCACACAAAAATGGAACGAAAAAGGCATGTTTTCCTATTTACAAATACGACAAGCAATTGAGTTTGTAGTCATGTTAAATTTGTTCTGGTTCTTCTTCTTCGTCTTCCTCCTTTGCTTTGGGACCTTCGAGGTTTTGTTTTCTCCACTTTATGCGTCGATTTTGAAACCAAACTTTCACTTGTGTCTCTGTTAGCCCGAGTTCAGAGGCGAGGTAAAAGCGCTCAGTCCCAACGATGTATTGTTGGTTGTCGAACTCTTTCTCGAGTCGTTCGAGTTGGTCGGGAGAAAAGATCGTTCTTACGCGCTTGGGTTTCTCTGCCTTCCATGGCCGCTTAACTGTAGTGGATGAACACTCACCTAATTACAACAAGAAAAAATAAAAAGATAAATCAAGAAATTGTATTTCAAACTAGTCAGGATATATATTTTTTTCCTTTAAACAGTCGACTTCTGCTAAAACTAGGCTATGGTGAAAATCAAAGAATTTCGGCTTTCTAGTAAATCTAATTTTATTGGTAAATCGCAGAGGGAAAAAAACTGAGGAAGTAAAGTGAAAAAGGGAGAAAAGCGCCAGAAAACGAAAGGGAAAATGAATGCAAGAAAGACCTTCAACACAATGTAAGCTAGTGTTTTCTTTGATTAATTCATGTCATAAAGTAAAATCTTGAAAACAGTGCTTGAGATATCGTGGTTGATCGCAGTAATATGCAATTATTACTCGTGATATTTCTAGATTACCTATCATAATTACACAATAATGAGTTGCAATGTTAAACGAACGGAAATGGTACTTCTAATTACAGTAGGCCATGGTCACCATGACCTAATGATTGTCATTCCTCTATCTAGTTTAAATGGACTATTAGTTTAAGACTCTGGCTAGTGTAATTAGACTTTGATGATAAATTACGTGTCAAGTTCGTGGTAGATTTGGCGCCTTCAGGCATTTATTACCTTTGATAAGAGAACCCTCCTCTCGAAAAACTAGTTAGCGAAGCCACCTGTGTAACTTTAATATAAAACGTAAAAACTCGACTTTCAAACACTAAGGCATAATATATTTAGCATATTTACCGACGTGTGTTTAAGTGTAAAAAAAACTGAGCTAATAATAGCATAATACTTTGTTAGAAAAGTTTTTTTTATTTAAATCAGTTGTTTTGTTTAACACAGCCCTTATTGTCTGGGTTTTGAAGTGTTTTCAACGAGTGTAAATTGTTATTTAAAAGACCCCAACGTCACCATCAAATGAGCAATCACCGAAAATCATTAGAATGATCTAGGCTTGAAATACGACCAAAAAACACTCCTCAATAAGACAACTGGATGATTGAAAAACAAGGTAGAATGTCGCGCGCGATTTTTCTTTTTTAACTTTAATCTTCATATAGAATCTTCCCTTACAACTTTAATGTGTTCAATACGATTTCTGATATGTCAACATCTTCCTTTTTTCAATGACTTCGCTCATTTCGCCTACTAAAATTACGGCTTTTAAAAATAATAAAGAAGCTTAAAAAAAAACTGATTGCTTACAAATGATGCATGTTTTACGTCTTTAAATGATAAAACCGTTTTTTCGCCATAAGCTTGTATATACAGTTCTTCAGTTGATTCCCAATTTCAATTTCTTTCAAATTATATCAATTATAGGAGCAATAATTACCTATAGTTAAAATCATAAGATCTGCAAGCCACTCAGAACTAATTAAACAGAAACCATTTTTATCGGTGTCATGTTGCGCGCGGATACGTTTTTTATGGATTTTTTTTACATTGATTCTAGTTCTAGTTTTCTATGTCAAAAAACAATATGTATTTCATAGGATAACTATTTGTCAAAGAATAATAAAATTAAGGTTTCTTTTGTTAAATTTTGAATTTAGGCAAAGGCCTACAGAGTGCATTTACTATGTTCTCAGGGCGTGTATTAAAGGTAGTGTATCGCACTAATAAAACGACTAGATATGCGCCCTACATAAACCGGCATCGATGTTCAAAAAAACACAGAAAAAACTATCAAAAACTACAAAGAAGAAGCAGTACCATTATTTTACAAAGACTTTCTCACATTTACCGATTAACGAAGAAAGACCTTACATTATTCTTTTTAGATATTTAACAATTAGACCACGAGGCCGTACTCGGAATGGACTATCAACTCGGCGTACTTCACGAGACCGAGTGGTCGAATTATTTTAGTATCCACCACTATTGGAAAAATTTCAAAAAATGACATAAAGAACAATTATATGGAGATTTTTTCGAAAATTCTTGCTTCATTCGATGTCACTATGGTCTGTCATAAATATACCATAGTTCACTAGCCAATTAGAATGCTGGATTTGTAATAGGCCATATTTTAGAAGATATTAATATCAATTATGAGAATTTTCAGTGATTATTGATGGTTGATAGGCAATAAAAATGAGCAATTATGACTAATATCTAATGAGTAACCTTTTCAAGATTCATCTTCTAAAATACTAGAATAAATGTTGAGCAGTATATGATATATCTGCTAAAAACCTACTAAACACCTTAATTAATTAAAATGATATCCAAAAAACTTTACTTTTATTCAATTTTCACTGTATATCAACGAAATGTATTTCTTAAAATCCGAACTGCATTTCTTACAATGATGGTGCGCGCATTAAAAGGGAGAGAAGTGCAAAGACTAAGATTCCTTACATCGTAAGGCATTTTAGCATTGTAAAAAGTGTTGTGAGTTTTCTTACCTTTAGTGTCAATGGTAGAGCCGAGTGCACGGCTGTAGCACGCAGGGTACGGATGCAGTCTCTGTAAAGTAGACAAACTTGCCGACAACGACGACGCTGCCCCTTGCGTTCTCAGATAGTCCACCGAGTCCGCCGTAGGTCTTCTAGGCGGCGAGGACGCTCTTCTGCTTAAAATAGACTCAATAGTAAAAGAAGGCTGTCTGGTTACACGCCTTGGAGTACTGTAGCCGCAGTGTCGAGAGGAGCAGCAAGGCAGTACATAGTATCCGTGCAAGAATGGTCGATGTGAGGTTGACTGGGTTGTGTTCATGGTTAGACTATTCAAATGATTACTAGTGCCCTAGTATAAATACTCTAATCTTGATCTCTATTATTACCTAGAATAATGACCATCAGAGATTGATTATAGGGCTCTATTATTGAGGGCTATCGACCGACTATGTAACCACGCTGATGGAGGCAACATCTGTTATCTGCAGTAATTAGCCTGCGACTCGTTGGACATTCTACACCATTAAGTTCTGTTGTATTATGAGTTTGCCTTTTTGGTTTTTAGCCCTTTGTTTTCTGTCTATTCCAACTCCCGCTGTGACAGGGCTGGACATTGAAGTTGAAGGGCCTCGGTTACCATGGCTACCTAGGCGATCGGGAAGATGTTCCACGTTAAATTTGTCGTTGAAATAGCCGGACCCCCTTTGACCGTGGCAATTAAACGCTCATCGAGTGCGATCATTGCAGCGTTTATCAGTGCTTAAAGCTCGTAAAACGACCTTAAAAGGTAGCGAGTTCGATAACGTCTATCACAGCTCGTCCTAGCCCTTAATGGCAATCACCATACACGTTAGCTAGAAAACTGCTAACATTTCAATTTTAACAGTGAAAACTCGTTAAATTGTACACGGAAATGATCAAATTGTTACGATGGTTAAAAACCAACTGAGCTAACTACCGGTAATGACGGCTAAAGTATTGATTATGATTGCACGTTATACTCATATATGAATAGATTGCTCTCGTATTTACCCGGCCATCCATCTGTCATTAAGGGTCGACCTGCAGGGTGGAAGCTGTCCTCCCGTTTAGCCATTTCGCAGTTGGGATCTGAAAAAAACTGAAGCTGGAGGATGGTTGAGCTATTTACACTACAGTTGCTACTCGAGCCATATTTTACCGCTTTTATAACATGTAACTTTGTTGGACTTGTGATAGATGTAAATCGACGTCATTGAGAGTTTTTGGCTTTTTTTCATTTTGTATTTAGCATTGACTCACACGTGCGCGATCCAGGATAACAAAAGACTTTTCCTTCTCAAATTTTGAGCTTAAAATAAACCGATTTTCAAATTAAAGACCGAAAATGACACGAAGAAGATATAGTAATGGAGTATTAGAAGATTTACGGAAAACGTTCAGTTGCGGCAATCCAGTTCGTTAATTTACTTTCATGTACAAGTTATAATGTATTCAAGGGATATATTCGGCATTAAAAAGGGTTAAAACCGTGCTAAATTAATTACAAACAAAAATGACTTATTGTCAGAAATCTATGTTCTAACAAAAAGAATAAGATTAGTATTATGATTGAATTCGGCATGAGGAACACTTTTGTTGAACGATAGTCTAGGATTGTACGACTATGATAGGATGTTTTACGATACACTAGTGCATTGAATAAGTTTTCAGACTGCCATTTAAGAGGTTATTAGACCAGTCCGTGGTTATTGATGGTCCATTCGCTTGTTTGAATAACACTTTCAAGTCATTTACCCTCTGAAAAATTACTTTTCAAAGACTTGGAATATTTTTTCCTATGATTTGGGATCATTTCACCTCACGTTATTGACTGGTTTGTTATTTAAATCTTGGAAGGTTTCATAAATAGTATATTTTACCATTTCTTTTGATTAAAGACAACAGGATTCAATCTCACTTTGATCCGATTCTACATTTACAATCAAAGAGCAAACGTGTGCTGTACTATCCTAGTTGCTATGAGTAACCAAAGGTGGATTTTTAACGTTAATATTTATATAACTCGTAGTCATACAAAAAACCCTACACGGTCAGTTATTATTTAGATAAAACGATTTTCCATTGCCAATCTTGGATTAAGTTTTTACATCAAGCAAATAACCACAGCTTTTCATTGTGCTACAAATTATCAAAAAGGGACTCCCCGAAGAGACCAATAATACCCGGTTCAAGACCTATATAGATAAAGACATATGTCCGCGGTATAGCCCCCTCTTCAATTCCCAGATCATAATTTAGCTGAAGATGTTCAGAACCAACTGGACTGCTGATCGCATTGGGCTATGGGAAATCCATGAGTTGAGATTGATGGTCTATCGGTAACATCTGTCATTCATCGAGATAGTCGTCCACTCACTTTGTCCTCTTCGATTCTGTACTTCACACAAACACTACCAAAATAATCTTTAATTTCATGACATATCTATAGTTTCAAAAGCTACAATTGTTAGAAAATCAAAAGATGGAAAACTGGCGATAGTTCGGTTTTTAACGTAACTTCGATGGAGTTTTGGTAGAAAGACAAAAGGCCAAGCTACTAGTGCTAGATGTGCTGATATCGAGATTCAGTTATATAAAATAACTGCGAACTAATAGAATTTGAGTGAACGAGTCAGAATAAAGAGAACAAAATAACCTCAATTGTTCAAGGTAATCAATACTCGTTCTCCTCTCCAGTGGAAGCCATTTTATCTATACTACACGTGTCCTAGGAATGTTTAAAACACGCTTTTCAAAGGACCCCTTTTCGCTATCTTTGAGCTCATATGATCAGTTCCTAGTTCGGTATTTTCAATAGCACAAAAGGTATAATAACCAGAGTATGTCTACACCGCCATATGCATCAGTAAAAAACATACCATGGATTGATAATAAAAAGAACAAATACACTGTTAATAGAAACTCAAAAGGTTCAATAATTTATTGACATTCTGCGTTAAATTAATTAACTCAATCTAAAGCGAATTCCTTGCAATGACGGCCGAGAAATCCACCGCACCTGAAATAATGGAATTAAACGTAATTGTATGTCATTGTTAAAGGTCGATATCGCACAAACTCGTGTAATGGACTTGAACTCGTAAAGCTAATGAAGTTAGGTCGTTTTTTAGCTATTCAAGATCTTTATTTTACCTATCTTGAAGCAACTGTTCAAATCAAAAGATCAATTGTACAAGTTTACTAACAAAAAGTACAAAAAAGTACATAAACTTTCCTGTGAATTCTGACTTTAAACTTAGATTCACGAAGTGACAAGTTTAAACAACAACATTTGAAGTCTGGACTTTGAGCCAACGTTTTTCTTTTAAAACAAATAGAAAAGACTCCTTGGCAAAGAGTGAAAGAAAAGGGCTGTTCCAAGGTGTCAAAGGTTTAGCGATGAAAAACAAACATTTTCCCTCAATTGAAATGTAATGTGGGTTTAGTTAGTTGGTTTTTGTTCATCGTTATTGACACTTGTTTCTTGATAATTTCAACTAATTCGATTTAAAGATGCGCTTTCAGCTTTTCACGACATCAATCAATGTTCTCGACTTTGTAAAACTTTACGTAACTATTCAGATAAAAAATCTTACTTCTGAAACTGAAAAGATTGTGCAAATTTATATATTAAAGTTTTGAGATTTAAACGTAGTTTTAGTTTAATGACCTTTGAGTGATTTGAGAACATGGTAGTGACTGTTATGTAGTTTTTTGGCGAATGATATCAGTGTACGCCCAGTTCGCTTAGTACAACAAAGAAATCCTTTGAACACAGTGCACAAACGCTTGGGACAACGATAATAAAGTCCATTCTTTTCATTAGAAAAGCGTTTGACACCAATATGAACACCTCTCTAACTGGATAACACACAATTATCATTTATTATAGACTTTTTCATTGAGCGAAAAACTCCCTCCTTTTTTCAGGGCGTTTTCTTCCCAGGGGTATTTAGCCTGACAACAATTCATCCTCAAAGAAGCTTGCAGCAGTAGTTAATCCAAGATAAACATTGAATCGAATCTCATTTTGAAGTCTTTTGGGGATTTATCTTACAGTGGGCGAAGACAAGCGCTGGCGTAGCAGCGGCTGTAAGATAGCTGGTCATGCTGTAAAAATCCTGTTACTTGTATGAAAAGCACCTTTAGCTCTACACCAGATGTAAGAGGTTTTCTGTCGACCAAGTCGCTACTAATACCCTTAGACTTGATTGTAACTATTTCAATAACTGTCCTATCAGGGCGAGTTCTTGCGCGTGTCATATAAGTGTAACTTTATCTCTCGCTTAAGTAGCTTAGCACGCCTGACTGATGACCTTTTGTGATGCTCAATGGACTGACCGCACATTCATGGCGTTCAAACAAAGCTATTCTGATAGAAAAAGAGCTTTTTTGAACTTCATTGTCAGCTCCATTTTAAGAAGCCTAACAGTTGGCGTGCGACATTTGTACATGGATCGAGCATGCCAAAAGGGTGGTGGAAAACCACCTAGCTATCTGTCCTATTTAAAACCCTTTCTAAAATGAATGATCAAAACGACTCACAAAACTAAGTTCCATTTTGAGAAGCTTCACAAATTTCTTGCGACATTTGTACATGGAGCAAGCATTTAACAAGGGTGGGGAAAAAACACTAGCTACTTGTTGTCCAAGTTTCCTTCTGAAAGAAAAGCAAAAACTAATTTCCAATAAGTGGGATAAAAGAACCGATGATTTTCAGATGTTCCTAAATTGAGGACCAAGCAAGGATTAGAGTTCTCAGTCAGATAAGATTATATAATTATGATAGCGAAACGGACCGCCGCGCCCAATGTCGAACAGTGTTAGTGGACTAGTGTTCTCTATAAGAAAGGATTCTACATTAGTTGTATCCTACCCGCACAGAAACATTTACGCGCTCAAGCGAAAAAGATGACAAAAAAAACAATCATTTTATTCGAAACAATAACATTATTTATATACAGTGAGTTTAAATACTTTTAACATTATTAATAATCTAGCAAAAGGAAATATTTCTGGGCTAGAAAGTATCAGGAGAGTAGTTTTGCTGCTGGTCTTTGTGATCTGTATAAAAATAAAAAAATTCTGAGATATCTCTCATTTTTTTTTATTCACTGGTTTTTCCATTTTTTAAATCTCATTTTGTATTTTAGCTTTTTCGTAACTCATTCATCGAATGATCTATTTAGTGAAAGTACAAGCATTATCTCAATTTTTCTCAACCAATCATCAATAAGATTTAAATCACTATGACAAATGAATATCTACCAATCAAATAATAGGTCTGCAATGTGATTATATATGATTTGATAGACAAATGTAAGCTTTAATCCACCCATCAAATTACCGTACATTAACTTTATTACACGATTTCTCATTCCCATCTATTTCATATTGAATACCAACATTAAAAAAAACCTTCAAGTTTGAAATTTAGTAGACACTTTCACTCACCTTAATTTTGCGACCGGTCGAACCCCGTTCGATGTACGACTTGCCAAACCATCACCACGTAGCTTAGCCGCTCGTTCACGCGTCTCTTCCAGTTCCTTCCATCGCATCTCTTCAATCATTCCCTGTACAAAGATAAACTTCGTCATGTTTCCTTGAAATGCAGGCGAAAGATCGGGCAAGATCGCAGTGGACAAACACTTCCTGGCCTTTCTCCGTGAAGGCCAGGTTTCCATGAAATCCTAATATGGCCATAGGCAACCCAACTATTGCTTGAGAGAATAAAAGAACGAGTTTACAGAATAGATTGTATCCCGCGAGGTACGGGATCCGTGAAGTATGCCACAGGTAATCCAAAAAATGCAAAGTGCGCTCGCGATAATAATATCACGCGCTCGTTTTTTTCTTCTCGTAAGCAATAGTTGGGCAGCCTATAATATTGCCGACAATTTGGCATTCTTATACGCCGAAATATCTGTATGCTTTGGCATAAGTCTCCTTCATAGCTCCCTCCGCCATCTTGAAAAGAAAGCATGCCAATGGCTCGAAGGGAAATGACCCATTGAGCTTGCAAATGATAGATACCTTTTAATAACTGTATATAGGCACTCACTTAGATGACAAGGTATAGTTACTTCAAGATGGCGCAGAGAACGATGAGGGACACATGAGGTCATTACACAGGAAGACCGAGACACTCACCTTTTGCTCTTCTAATTGTTTCTGACGTCTTGACAAAGCTTTTTTCGGTGCTAATGTCTGGGCTATTTTTTGGCTCTCGCGTTTTCTTTCTATCACGACAAAATCATCGGTTTATTTTCCAATTTGAACCAACAGAAAAACGCCGCGATATCCCTCAGGTGATGGATATCAAGAATACGGAAGTAAACAAGCAAGAAAGTGGTATCTTCATAATTAGTAAAACATGGTATTGATCGAATGAAGGGTATTCAATCTTTTGTTAACAAAATGCATTCGAACTCAAAGAACAGACGCTAGTAGCAAGGTAGAGCAAACAACATGGTTTTTCTGCGTTTGCTCTATTGAATTACACAAAACAAAGACAGAAACATCTACTTCCCTAAACTCTCGAACGGGTTGATGGGAGGAGTGCGATAAAGTAAGCCTTCCCTTGATGCACCGCGCGCCATATAAAATAGAGATAAAGGGGACTGCGCACGAGTCTATTATAATGTGAATTCAAATATTTTGGACAAAACTGAGATCAATGATGATAGAAACCTGCTTTTCGAGCTTCTAGCTTGTCCTGTAGTTCCTGTAGTTTTGGATCTTTGGGCGCCTGTTTTGGTATTCTTTTCTTTTCTTCTTGTCTACAAAAGCAAACAAAAAACCTTAGACTAAAATGTAAGTGATGAATGTGAGTGCGAGCGAGTATGTATGCAAGGGCATAAGTGTTTGTGTGATTATTCTTTAATCATCTTACCTTACGGCTGCCTCTTTGCCTTTTTCAGCACGGTGTCTAGCGATAGTTTCTAGGGTATCCATTAAGTATTGATCCTTTTCCTGTTATATAGTATAAAAAACAGATGGGCTTGTGAAATAATTGCCCTCTTTCACTATGACGTCACAGCATGTTTACATGGGACGCACAAACACTACAGCAATAGGAATTTTATCACATATTCTTTCTCTTCAAAAGATAAACTTCTCAATTTCTTGTTTCAAATATGTCATATTTCAAGGATGGAAACCAAGAAGAATACTTGCCACTTTAGACTTTAATATACCGTCTCTCTTCTTTTCTTTCTCTTCTTCTTCCGCTGTTTTCAGCAGTGAAAGTCTCTCCCTTAGCTGGAATACACACAGAGAAATACTAAGCTCTATTTCATAGTAAGAAAGGTATACTTTAGCGTCCTTCGCAGGCTACTCCAACGGAAATTAACTTTTTCTCTTCTTGGTCTTCCTGTGTTCATAATCTTGACCGAGAAGAACTGGTGTCGAGAGATTAGGAAACCCCTCCCCCTCCGGCAGCTTTTTTTGCCTTTACACAGGAATCCCACAGAGTAGAGTTGTCTGCGAAGGAGACTAGAATAGGTATACTTGAGGATATTGTTCCTTCTTGACGACATACCTCGGCTATTGACATTTCACCAAGCAGACCTGCACCTGATGTCTCCGTTAGATCGACATACTGTAAATATAAGGGAAAGTGAGTTAGAATCGACAATTGAGTATATGTAAATAAATGAAAAAAGAGAGGTACAGGGGGAGGTGCACAGACCACAATGGAGATAACAAAGGCTACATGGGAAGGGATGAACCCTCCCTATACTCATGCAGCAGATTCTGCTGTAAATAGATGGAAAGTGAATGGGACGGAATTGAGAAACAATGAACGATGTAAAGAACAGATAAATGGATGGATTGACAGATGAATAAATAGAAAATGCAAAAATCTATTCAATGAGATGGATCAATAAATGAAAGAATAGTTATACCTTGAATCGAATTACTGGTACACTTTCGATGGCTCGTATTTTAGCAATCAATGCAACCTTCTGACGCATTTCTTCTTCAGCCTAAGGAAAATGAGTAAAAACATCAAATGACTGCGTGACGGTAAGTGCGTGACTCATCGATGCGTCACACAATACTTACCTCTTCCAAGGCCTTTCTCATCATTTCTTGACTTTCTTTAGCGACGTCTTGAACTGAAATAAAAGGAAACAATCCATCATTATATCGCCGGACGACATAAGTAGAAAGATGGACCACATATTACAAGCAGTCAGTCAAATAGACTGACAAACAGTGGACACACAGACACTTGGACAGACACGAAAAGAAGGAAGACAGAAAGATGTCCATAGACAGACACTGACAGGAAGATTTGTCTTGACAGACATCGACAAACTGACAAGTCAACCCTTTATACCTATTTTTTGTTTAAATTCTCGGAGTTTTTTTCTCGCTTCTTTGGTATTTTGATGTCCTTCCATCGTATCTTCCACAAGTTTTCTAAGACAATGATATAACATAGATTAAACAGTGTTGTATAAGGAAATGATCTCGGCATGACAAAAATATATACCTCATCTCCTGCTCTTGGTCTAGTTTCTTCTTCATATATTCATTCATCATTTCTTGCGTCTAGAAACAAACAAATTGTATTTCTTCATTTTTTCTACGTTGTATTATTACAAGTTAACAAGGTAAGAGTTAAGACCATATCGACATGCAAAAAAGCGCATTAATGACACGCCTTTTTTAGTTCTCTGTAACTTTAAGGAAATTCCAAATCAAAAAATGCAACGAAAACGTATTTTTTTTTTCAAGGCCGTCTCCATGCAGTTTTCATTGCGTTTTTATACTTCCTTGTTGAGAAACGAATGCAAAAACGTTTTAAGAAAACGCATCAGTTGACGAGGCTCTAAACGTAGCATCGTCAAAAAGTTTTGGGTCAATAGTCTGGTTATTTGTCGTCTTGTAAAACATTTGGCAAACTTACCTCTTGCTTGATTTGCAAAACTCTTTCTTGGTTTTCTTTGATTAAATTCTGACGTGCAAGAATAGCTTCCTCGTAACTCAGCTTGCCTTCCTATGATGCAGATATGTATTACAGTTAGAGATGGAAAAAAATCAGCAATATTCATCATTATCATCATCGTTAATTTTATCATCGCTATGATTCTCGTCAATTTGTAATTCTGTAATTCTTATACAAGCACGAGTGATAAAAACAACCAATAATGCACAATCACCATCGCCTAATTACAGCGCGTATATACCCAATGCTAGACGACAAGTCTACACAAGAGCTGTTGGCTGGTTTCAGAAAAGTGAGGGGATGGGATGGAGTGGGGGTCGAAAAATGCTTCCCAGCACTCCTCTCGTCTTTCGCTTGCGTTTCCCTGCAAGACTTGATAACGCAAGCTTTTTTTAGTTGATCTCTCCAAATCATTTGCAACTTACCAGTCTTCGTTTTTCAATTTCTGCAAGACGATCGTCCATGTCTTTCTGTTGAGGGAAAAAAAGTACATTATTAAGGACTTACACAGTTATTCGTGGATGATTTCAATAATAATAAAGCGACCACCTTCCTAATACAGACACGATTGCTTGTCAGCAACATCAACTAGTTGAATTCTACGTACCTTGCGCATATTTTCTTGCCATTTTAAAAACTCTGACGGGTCTCTGCCTCCCTTCTCGAATTCCGCCAACCTGAGGGCGAGGTTCATTTTTCAGTAACATCGAATTTAGAAACGTTAATTTTAGAAACACATAACTTATCAAACACAGCCTCAAACCTCTTGAGTTCTTCCTCTTCTTTCTTCTCAAATAAAACTCCTTCTCTCATTATTGCTGCGGCATTTAGACGAATTGGTATGTTACCAGTCTAGAGGATGGAATATATGTATTAGATATAGTCACTTAATAGAGTTATGGTGAGTATATGGTGCAATGTTGGGTCTCGCAATACTGTTACATGGCTGAGCATGTGATCGTTACAATAAATTAATCGATTTATGAAATACACTGTACTCACTGTTGTCAAAGGAACTTCTGTTAATTTTGATTTATTAAACTGTAATCTGAAAATAGAAACAAATTATAGAAATCAAGGTGAACTAGTCAAATTGTTATAAAAGAAAACAACGAAAATATGGATTACTAAATGTGTCAAGTTATTTTAATTTATAAATTCTATAAAGAGAAATTAATATACAGTACGTATCTGATTAATTTTGTTAATATACGATATTTATAATGAAACAATATGCCAATGAATCAGTATTTTCCTAAAATGGGGGGCACCATTTCTTTGTTTCACCCCTTTTGTATCAATCAATCTAATATCATAGGTTCTGTAGTCATACATGTACAATGAACTTACTTTGACTCTTCATCTTGTATAATTCTATCCAATCTTTCTTTAGTTTTAGATGATTTCTCTGCACTAGCACAGCTAAACTGCTTTGCTGACGATCTCATCAGTTCTTCCTAAAAACGAAAAGAAAAAATCCTAACTACATTGACAGACTAAAAGAATGGCAGACAGACAGACAGACTGTATTACTGTTCCTAATAGTGAGATGGAAAGACGATTGATCATTAATATAAGATGAAAGATTATCTTGCACAATAAACTGATAGACAATACAAAGAATGCCAGACAGGATTTTCAAGTCTGACCTCTGCTTTTTTTCTATTAACTTCACGGACTTTTGACAATGTCTCTTCCTCTTTTGGCTGCTTGTAGGTTGTATCTGGTACCTACAGGGTAAGAATTGAAAAGAATTTAATGTATAACAAAGAAAATTGGGTACTTATTTTGTGGAAAGGGAATGGGAAATGAGGGATGCTACAGGCTGCTCAGTTTGCTCAATCAATTCAGTTTTTCTCTGTTTGGGCTTCCTTTGGAAATAGTGGTGGAGTGGAGGAAGTCCAAAGTAAAAGAAAAGAAACGTTGTCTGTAGAGCTGTCGAGGAGCCTTCCTGAGGCTATGGTGCATGGCTTAAAGATTATAAAAACTCACCGGTTTACTTTTGTTAAGTTTTGGGATCTGCAAAGTAAGAGTATAATAGATGTTTAATCAAATAGCTTGACTTCAGTCATCATCATCATCATTATCACTTTACTAAATTCTCAATTGGTACCTTTTCTGGCATTGGAATACTCCTGGGACGAGGCTTGGTCAAGTTAAATGGTTTTGGTTCTGTTTGATACAACAATAACTCAGACATATCAATCAAGCCCCCCCTAATTGTTTGGCTGAACTAGCAATGGTATTAGATAGTATGTCGACCAGTCATTCTTGTACCCAGATACTTCTTTCCCAATGGAAAATCAAAGTCTCTGGTTGTAGACGAGTGAGTCTTTGATAGGTTAAAAAATTCCAATGTACCATTGGTATGCATATATCGCACGACCCAGATTCTAGGTCTTTTGGTATTGTCTCCAATCAGAGGCTTCGATTTTCCATTGGGAAAGTTAGAAGGATCTAGGTATGAGAATGGTCAAACAGTTGGCTTATGTTTCACTGATATAACCTCTGTTTAATAATCCAGTTTCGAATTCTCCAATGCTCTGTGTTAGCCTCATTTGTACGCAAAATATTAATAATAGCGAGAATAAAAGTGTAAAATTTTAAATCAATTTTATTGTTTTTCTTCACAAATTCCATGTGTTTTCTCGTGCCATCAATATAAAACAAAAGAATACGTTGCTTCGTTTTGAGGCTAACACAGAGCAAACCAGAACTCGAAATTGGAGTATTCCTTAATAGCAAAGTGAAGTCCCAGCAAGTCATTACCTGTAGCTGGTTTGCTTGGCTTTGATTTTGGTCTGTTATTAGTTTGTTTATATTCCAGTTTGCTGACAAGTTCTCTGAGTTCTGGCATCCATCTGAAAATTATAACAAAAATAATAATAATCAATCCAACATAAAGACCATATTTCATATTTAGAAACTCTAATCAATGAATTAGTTTGCATATGGTTAATAATCACTCATATTAATCAGCAATGTCCAGGGTTCTCAATAGAAACAAAACTAGACGTCAAAATAGGAATAGTACCCGTCAAAACAAGGAAGCAGAGAAAAATGTAAAAACTCAGAGAACCCTAAATGTCCAGGCAATTCCAGCAACCTTGGTTATGGTAATAAAGTGGAAGGAAGAACATTACCAGGAACACTGGACTATATTCCATTATCCTAGTAATAATTACCAATTATTGGAAACAAGATTATATAATAATGGAATACTTAAATATCATACCTTAACAGGGGACTGACAAGTTTTGATTTCACATAGCTTTGTTCATACTGCTTGCTCCACTAAAGAAAGAAATAAGATTTATTCATCACAGTAACACTTAATTTATTATAGTCACATAGAATGATTGCAACCATATTATGGGATACCGACTCTGTAATAAATGGATGGGAAAATGGAAACAAGAATTAATGAAACAGAAGAAGGGAGGAAAAGGAAAAGAGATAAATTGTTGGGTAGATAGATGCACATTCCTGTGTGGATGAAAAATAGGATGGGTGGATGGAAGAATAAATAGAATAACACACTGTACGGGAATGAGAAGACATAAAGATGAATGAACGAATGGAAAATAGATGTGTGGAGGGAGGAAGAGAAAGGGGGACGGATGGATAATGAGTGAATAGATTAAATAATTGAATGATGGAAATAAAAGCACATGGAGTTCTAAGGAATAAGAACTGAGAAACAATTGAGCTACTGTACCTCATCTTTCATCCATGTTTTGATATTGTTTTCATCAAACATAAAGGCAAGATACTGTAGGAAATAATATCTCATGTCATATGTTTATGTTTCACATCTTCTCATAAATCTTAGTAAAACGCATCCATTCTTAACTTCTTCACATGTAAAATTATTGCTTTGTTCTTACCCGGTACATCTTGTTGGAATCCTGGGATGCAACAAACTTTTTAAAGTGGGAAAGACCTAATTCATCCAGTCTGTACAAAGCTAAATATGTAAGGACTGAAAAAAAAAATTCATCCAAGGTTACAAAAGACTGTATGTGGTATTGAAGTTTAGATTGATGCAAAACATTGAAAGTAATCTTGAAAGACAACTTTAGCATGCAGTATGAAGACTTTGATAACTAGCATTATTGCAATGTCAAAAAAATATGGTCCAATGCACAAACTGTCAGTACAATTTCTAATCTTTCTCTTTATCTCCTAGCCCTTTTTTAAAAGTTCATTTATAAGTACTATTATTAATTTCATAAACACAGTCATGTGTGTCAAACACATATCTTTAAATTAAAGTATTCCTGTATTCCTACCTATATACAAGTTTCTGTCAACACGAAGGCAGTTTTTTCCAACATCTGCATAAAATGCATCCACAACAACCTTAAATAACAACTCAAGTTAGAATAATGTTGATGAATTATTATATATTGTAAATTTTATCATTGTAGCTCTTGTACCTTTAATATTGCAATATGTTGAACACACCCAGAGAAAACTTCAGTAACAAATATAGTATCGTTTTCCTCAACATCCTATAAGTTAAATATAGTAAGCTTAAGTAATTCAAAAAGAACAAAAAGGTCAGGAAAATAAGTTAAGTAAGCTTTCTTCATTAAGACTTATAGTATATCGCATGTATTAAATATATTGACAGAAATTTTCATAGTTAAGTCTTTCAAAGTACAATTACCTTCACAGAAGACAAATATGAGTCTACATGTTCTTGTACACCGTGTAAGCTGGCATTAAAACTGCCCAAGAGCTCTACACAAGAACTTAAGAGCTGTTTGTGTCTCATATTTGCAGTCMATTTAATCAATTCTAGCCACTAGTTGTACAATCAAAATACCATTCCTTATTGCACAGGGTTCGTAGGGAGCAGAAGATACTTTCTAATAGTATTTCAAAGTATCAATTACAGTTAAAAAGTGATTTGAATCGTCCGTTCTTCCAGCTTTTCCAAGTTTGTATTCGACGAGAAAGTAGTTTACATCCTCCAGGCAACACACCATAACGAGGCTTGAAGGGAGACTGGACACTAGTTTTCAAGCCTGCTACGCAACTCGATCTTAGACTAGACAGAAACCCCGTCAATATAAAATTGATGACGCATTCCCTTTCACCCATTAAATACATTTACGAGCGAAGATATACTCATATCCTTTATATTGTGCCTTATTCTGTGGATTTTCTAGTACAAATTCTTAGAAAAAAGTATTTCATTCTTTCAGGAAGTGAATGGATCAATGTGCGTCAGGTAGGTATGCAAATTAGTTTCCATGGCACACCACGGTAGATTCGGTAAAAGGGAACGATAGAGGGGAAAAAGGTTATTTTGTATACAAAATACAATCAGCAATATGACGTCCAACAAATCAGTATCGCTTTTAAGCTAAACAAGCATGGAAAATACCTGAATACACCTAGCTGTGAGACCCGCGTGTCGCAAGAAGCTTCTAATTGATGACACCTCATAAAATCATGAGGCGACCAACAGTAATTTGTTCAGGAAAGTTGCTTCGCGTACTCGTGGTATTTGTAATAATTTCCCTTTACTTTTTCTTCAATACACTTCAATATGACAAATATCTACGAAATCCTAATCTCAAGTGTCATTATACAAAACAAGAGCAGAAGCGCTTATTGCAACTAGCATATGAAATTCACACGATTCTAGATGAGCTTGAACTCGGGCATTGGCTAATGTATGGATCAATTTACGGAGCTCTTCGTTATGAGAAGCCATTGCCTTGGGATTATGATGTCGATTTTGGAATTTACGGTGAAAAGTTTACCGAAGAAAAGAAATCCATGATTTTTCGTCGATTGAAAGAAAATGGTATAGGTTATGTCGACCACCTGGGACAAAGCGGTGTGATATGGTGTACAAGATCTGGTGCTAAAGTTGACATTTTCCTGTTTTTTGAGCACGGCRATGGTATGATGAAGAGAACAGGTTGGGAGCCATGGCTTCTTTTCATGCAATACAGATATTGGCACTCTTTTCCCGCTGCACTCGTCAAACCACCTTTGCCAAAGACGCGGTTTGGATTTTTCCATGTACCATTACCTCGTGGTGGTGTTGAAATTACCAGACATATCTACAGGAACGATTGGTGGAAAATAGTGAAACCTTTACGATGTAAGTAATAGAAACAGTACAGAAGGAAACCAACGGATGATATATATCTATATATAACTGATTGGTAATGACTCAACGCATGTTGCACTACGGTGGATTCTGTAAAAGGGAGCGATGGAGGGGAAAAGGGTTATATAACTGATTGGTAATGACTCAACGAATGTTGCGGAAAACAACTGAGTTATAACTGACTGTCTGGAGTCTAGTATGATAAACCTTCAGCAACAACAACAACAAAAAAGAAAAAAGAGCATTTCAATACTACGTAATGGAACTTTCTAAACAAGAATTAATGCAGTTTATCATAGTGAATCAAAACTTTTAACAATTGTATTCGGGCCAGTAAATAATTCAATGCTAAACATTCCGCTTCGCATTTGCATTTCCACACCTCAGAGTCTTAGCTGACTAGGCCCTCATTTTGTGTGTTCGATTCTCATATGCGCGTTTAGCGTCCGTTGTACCAATAGTTACTGATGCAGCATTTTATTGCGCACTTTTCTTATCATATACGGATGGTAAGAAAGCCGTTTTCAACAAGTTTTTCAGAGTAAATATGTTATTATGACTGGTACTTATAACAGTGGAAGAGAAAGCGTCAGTTGGCCTTAATGGTTTCCTTTGGGTATTAAGAGAAGCAGACTTGTCGAAAAATACTAATGATAACGGTTTTCATTGATAAATAAAATTTCTACTATAAACATTCTTATGTAAATTCACTTATTTTATTCATCTTACTTTGTGTAACGCAACTGGCTTAGTAAACGCCGGAACGTCGTCTAAACATGTTTTCGTTGTTGAAAAATTGTAAGAATAAAAAAAAACTATGGTAAAAATGTTTCGTTGAGATAACAATTTGTACGCGAATATTATAAAGTTTATTAATACATATATTTCGGTAGAAACCACCGTCCATTATTATTTGATAAACCCCTATGGGACCACATTAGTTCCTTGTTCATTGAATTTATAAAAATCGCTTAAAACAATGCCTATTTTTACACCTCAGAGTACTTAGCATAATGGCCTCACTTTGTAGTGTGTTCAATTATTATGCCTCATGAAAACATACATCGGTGAAAACGGCTTGAAGACAAGAAGAGAGTATGACATAATAGTCTTGGAACGAGGAAGAAATCAACCATTTACAACCACAGTGACGACACGAAACATGAACGTCAGTCAGGTCAACTTTATAAAACTAGCGGAACGCTGCCCAATGAAAGAAAACGAAGCGATCCTTTAAGTAAAGGAACATAAATTTGAACTCATTGAAAAAACATCGTTTTTGCATCATCGAAGTCATGGGTAATTAATGGCGAATATCATAGTTGTGGTGGAAACTTGCGCGTAAACTAGTATGAGCTGCGTCGGTGTTGCTTAAGACACAATGGCGCAAAAAGATAAATTTTAACAACTTAAAAAACTGAAGTAGGTGACACAAGATTTAAAGTTGTCTTATTGTTCAGTGTGTAACATCTCGAAACCCTTTCATGGCAGTTTTTTCTTTAGTTTTTTCTTTGAAGTGCCCTCATTAATTTTCTGTCTGGAGACCGTTTGCATAATTTATAATGTGGTCAGAGCATATGGAAACGGGATATTGGTAGCGTTGTGCGCCCATACACAATTAAAACTCCGAATATGTGCGCGGAGGGAGAGGGGGATTGTAAAAAAACTTAACCAATGTTGGTGCCAGGCATTAAGACACACACACACAAAGAAAAATTAACAAAACAAACAAAAAAAAGTTCAATCTATGAGTACAAATGGCTACTAGCGTAATCTTTGGCCAAATTTTTGACTGAAGCTGGTAGGGAACTTTAGTATTGAAACAACAACAACAACAACAACAACAACAACAACAACAACAACAACAACAACAAGAAAACAGACTGATTGATCATGTGTATAAAAAATTGCGTCGTGTGTTACAATTGAATTGAATTGCATTACAATAAATAGATTAAAACATCAAAGAAATAAAAACATGAAATGAACTAAAATCCAGCATTGGAAAGGAACTATTATCTTTATTTTAATTCTTTGATTTCTTTTTTTCTTTAATCAACTATCACAAACTAGGTAGTCATTTTTGTTTCACAGTCTGTGGAAAAAACTCATTTTGCTCCATGAAATGGAATCCAGAATCCACCAAAATTTTGTCTCTGGAATCCAAAATCCACCAAAAGTGATCACTGTAAAATTTTTCATGGAATCTGGAATCCAAAAACTCTCCAGATTCAGTGTTATGGGACATGATCAATACTATCATTATATCATCACTAGCTCCATAGACGATGACAAAATCAATGACTTTATATTCCTCAAAACATAGCTGCAGAATGTTGGATAATAAGGATACATGTAGTTTCATTTATGAAAAGATTTCTCTTGCAGATGTACTTCCATACTGCCCACAAATAATTAGCTTTTTATCAATCGTCGATATGCCATTTAAAAATACAAATAATTCACAAGTGCCCTGTGGTATTAATGGCCATTACTATATAACACAGAATCTTGGGCCATCTGATATGATGTTATTAATCTTTTATTTTTTTCTTTTTACTGTCCAAGTATATCTCATAACCAAGTCCCGCGATAACAGCTAATACTGTAGAACCTTGTGCAAGAACACGCGCCCTCATCATTTTTTGTTGCACTTTAGCATTTCCTTTAATAAACGAAAAAAGACCATAGCTCAAGGCACCAACTGTTAACACACATCCTGAAAAATAATAAATCTTTATAACAACAATCATGAATACCAAAACACTGTTATGTAAGAATAAATGCAAAGTACAACCTTACATTATACAAAGTCTATTTATATTTTATTTGATAGACACTGGATCATCATAGCTCACCTAATGGTACGAAAGGATTTTCTCTTGCTTTACGAAGCATTTTGTCCTTCATCGTCTCATCCCTTTGACTGTTGTTATCCCATCGAACTGATGAACTTTTCGTCTTTGCATCGATCGGCGCCATTTTGGATTCGTATCTAGTTTGGCAATGCATGCTGGTCATACTCGGCCCAATCCCGCTCCAGCGCACGAGGAAAATCAAAATGGCGGCGTTCTTGTTGAAGTATCCTTCTTTATCTTCAAGTATTTCATATATTTCTATGCGGGGATTCGCAAACATAGGTAAGCAATGCATTTTTAGAGTGCTTTACTAAATCTTGCAGTGCCATCCTTGATTTCTTTAATATTGTTGTTAGTTAAATATGAAGCTGATTTCGTTGTAGGTTCAAGATCACCAAATATTAATGTTCTTAATCGTAAAGTTTCCCTTCCTTTTGGTTGCCTGCAAAGACAACCTGTTTCTCGGCAAACTTATCTCCACTCAATCCCAAAGATACATCCTATTCAAAGAAATCATATTTGTACGCTGTTACCCACAAGACATCAATATTTTTCTGTCCGAGAAGAACTTCAATCTACAATATGCCATAAAACGAGATCTATTACTATAATGAGTAAACTGGGAAAAAGAAAAACATGCAAGGCAGTGGCAAAAAGATTTCATCGTACTGGGAAAGGAATGTTGAAAAGATGGAGAGCAGGGAAGAATCATAATATGATGAAGAAAAGAAACAAAAGGAGAAAACAGTTGAAGAAACCTACTTATGTGTCAAAAGGTCAACTGAAACTGCTAAACAAAATGCTGAATGGGTGGTAAAATTGTGAGACATATTGTAAAAACATTAATACTCCAATTTCGAGTTCTGGTTTGCTCTGTGTTAGCCTCAAAACCAAGTAACATATTCTTTTGTTTCATTGATAGCTGAAAAAAACGCATGGAATTTGTGAAGAAAGACAATAAATTTGATTTGAAATCTCACACTTTTACGCTCTCAATAAGAAATATTTTGCACACAAAAGAGGCTAACACAGAGCATTGGAGAATTCGAAACTGGAGTATTAGCAGATCCTAAACAAGTTATTGGGCTTCCTATTGAGCCAGTAATAGAGTAGGCACTGGGACTAAGGGAAAAAAACGTTACTACCACTGGATGGACTGGATGTCATAAACTGTTCCCCAGTAATAAGACACACATGAAAAAAGATAGGCTTTATTTTATGTGTTTATGAGATCTTTTACAATTATTGCACGCTAGTGAGATTCCTTGCAGTGGTTTTTATATCTAGACATCAGCAATAGCACTAGTCATTGCGCTTAGTGTGTAAATTTCTTTGTATATACAGGTAGAGTAAGTCTTCTTCACAGCCTCCCCTTTTGTCAGGCAGGGACAGGAAGCCCAACAAGAGGGGATGCTCTGAAGGAGACTAAGGTAGAATGAAATTATTTCTTTTATTGCATTCAGAAAAATCTGGAAGAAAGTTTTTTTAATTTTAAGTAAACTTGTGATTCAATCCTGTTTAAAAATGCTATTAAATAAGTATCTGGTAGTATAGGAGCCTGTGATGTAATAATTCTAATTGTAATAATGATTTAATAGGTCATAATTTGTACACCAAGTCTGCATTGTAGTATTTCAGCAGTTTTAGTAGTGTGTTTTTTATTGAACTCATAAGGTTGTCCATAAGTGTCGGTTGAAGAAGGAGCTACTCTGATATYATAAAAAGATATCTTTCTTAGACTGCATACTAGTATCAATCCCAATCAATTTATTTGTATAATATGTTGTGATGCACTAACATTCATAAAAACAAAATGGAATATTAAATAAAAACGGAAAAGAAAAAAAATGACTTCATGATTTTGGAAAAATTTATAAGAAATTGGTATTCATTTAAAAAATGCAATTATTCAGGTTGTGAAGTTATGGAATTTCCAATGACAATATCAGTTATAAATATATCATGCTTACTGTATTACTGTTATAAGCCTTTTTAATGTTTATTTTACAAATTGTTATATTAAACTTAAGTCATCTTTATAAACACTGTCTTTTAATCTAATGTTCATTTATTGGTTTATGACTGACGGGTTAGTTAGTGCTTTACCAGTGCCGGCATTACGTTTAAATAAATCCTTAAGTGACCACGCCCTTTTTATAAGCACTTCACCATCACCAGTGGGGTTGTCTTTAGCGTCAATGTCTAGGTATATTAAACTAAGGTCATCCTTAACTTCTTTACTGATTGATTTCAAGGATTGAAGGTCATCCATTTTGGTTGCACTGTTAATAATTTTAAGATCACATTTGGATTTATTAGAGGTAGTTTGTCGCTGTTCTTCCATGCCCTCTGGGGTTCCTCTGTCGGTTCCTGGCTTTAATCTTCTTAACCCACTAGTGCTATTAGCTTTACAGGATTCAGTATTCTTTGTGGGTGTAGTATTAGTATTCCTGCGCAATGATTTAATAACCTTTTTAACATCGTTTATAATGATTAATAATCACTTATAATGTTCACTATTTACTTGTAATATTATCTATTATTATCAGAAATGGTTTGGTTTATATACACTTCCTAGGTATGAATATATAGTATACATGATTGATTTTATAAACAAATGACGCTAATTATGTAATTACACAGATTATGACACGAACAATATACATGCATAATTTTCCTTTATAAAAGCGAATGGGATTTGTTTTGTATTGAATGCTATAATATGTTTTCTTACATGTAACTGTCCTGTCGATTATATTCTGTTATATTTTGAACATATATACAGCTGTTTCCAATAATTCTGACCCCCTCTGCCATATTTCATATATATCAAACTGACCTTAAATATTATGGGATATCATGACTGATATATTTTTTGAGTAGTCCAGAATGAGTACTTTCTAAAAAAAATATCAGCAATGGTATCCCATAATTTCTAAGGCTATTTTGATATATATGAATATTAGTGTAGGGGGGTCAGAATTATTGCAAACAGCTGTATATCTCGTGGTTACCCMAAGTAATAAATAACAAGTTACAAATGTTTTTGGCAATCTAGGATAACAAAAGTTGAAACTGAAAAAAAGGATGTGAACTTTGTTGAATTGGTTGCGTTTCCTTATTCACACCAATTACCTATTAACTGTTACTTGTGCCTTGCTCGAATTGACAGAGGAGTCACCTAATAAATTAGAATTAATACTCAATAATATTGACTAATGATATTCAAAATAACAATTCACACAATACAGAAATAAGTACTCAAAGGAATGAGTAAAACATACAAAGAGAAGAAAAAAGTATTTTACATTCAGTATTCCACTAGTTGCTTACGTTTCATGGCGTTTCTAGTAATGGATGAGCTTCTATTCCATGGTTGCTTATGTTCAGTGCTCGTTTGTTTTGCATTTCTCTAAATACGTTATAAAAATAGTAAGTGACACTAAAGTCATAAAAACAAACGCACACAATGAAAACTTACGCCATTGAGATGAATTTTGCGAGCTAGTAGCGTTCTCGCGAAGTCTTTTATTTCTTTTTCTTTGACATTTCGCGACCCTACTGTAGACAAGAACTTTCTAACCAGGTCTACAACACTTTTTTCTTCCATTGTTAAACTTGTACTTGGTTTCTCCTTCTCGGGAACCTGGGCCGCGTCATTTTTCAAAGAGTTTACTTCTTTCTCAAGTTCGCTACGACTTTGTAAAACCTGTAAGAGTTCTCGTTGAAGACGCTCGCTTTTAATGCGCGAAACGTTAAGGGCTTCTTCCATGTCTTCCTTCTCGCTGTAAACACCATTCAACGTTTCTCGCAGCTCTTCACGTTCATGTTTAGCTGATGCTAGTAATGTTGCCAAGACTTTTTTGTCGCTATTTGCATGCATAGACTCGCTGATGGAAAGCTTATATTTGACAGTTTTGTTCTCATTTTCGAGGTTCGAGATGTAGATTCGCAGCGCATCTACTTCACATCGCAGAGCTGTATTCTCAACATAGTATTCTTCCAGCTTCTTCTCTGTATTTTTCGGGTTCTTATTTTCCATTTTCTGAGATGTGCGTGTACCTGGAGGACTGTCTTTCCCGTTGGAGTTTGTCTTTTTCTCCTCGATTTCGTCGTTTTTAGTTGCTTGTTTAACTGCTTTCCGCAGACGAAGTTTAAGAAGAGCTTGTTCGTCCTCGATTTCGACAAGTTGTTGCACCAAATTCTGCATATCCTGAAGTTTAGTTTTTTCACTGGACAATTGTTCAATTTCTTTTTCAAGCCTGACTTTGTCTCGCTCGTATTGTGCTAGCTTCTCGTGGCTCAATGATGATTCACCATTGGGCGTCTCCTCTTTCGTTTTCTTCAGAAGCTTTTCAGACTCATCGTTAGTGTACGAGGTCAAACGATGCTGCAAAATCTGATTTTTTGTCTCCAGCAACTCAATCTCTTTGTTCAATATCTTTACTACCTCTTGGCTTCGCTCCAGGCCATCCCTTGTCTTGTACAACTCTGATCTGAGTTGCTTTGCCTCTTCCTCAGACTTGGCTACCTTTTCTTCCTCTGTTTCCTTTTCTCGTCTTAACGCTAAGATATCATCTTGCAAACCGATGATCTTTTCCTGAGCATTTTCCAGCTCAGCGTCCATATGTTTGTCTGCGCTTACTTTGCAAGAGTCTTCTGCTTTAGAAGCCGGAGGTCGTCTCAACGAGGAAAGCTCAACCTCGAGTTTGTTACTATCTTCTCTTAACGATGTAAGATGCGTTCCTAAGTTCGCTGTTTGTATATTGGAGAGTGTAAGTTCACCTTTGAGACGAAGAAGCTGTTCTTTAGCGAGAAGTAACTCCGACTTAAGTTTCTGGTCTTCCTCGTTATCTCCTTTTATTGGTCGTCCTTTGGCGCGCTTCATTGTATCTCTTTCCGAGTCTCCACGTGTCAAAGTCCGAGATTCGTGAGAGGTTGTGAGTGTTCCTCGTTGACCAAGAGTACCTCTTTTAAGTGTGTTCTTGCGAGCTGAAATTTCATCACTCCTGGGGCTCCTCTTAATCGACATCTTTTTCTTTGCTGCTAGATACGATGGCTGCTTTTTCAGCTTTGGACTTTTAGCTCGGGAAACAAGGTGTATGGATTGAATTCGGCTTGGTGTAGCAGAATCTCGCCGTCCATTTTGTTTCATTTTTACTTCAACGAGACTTTCTCGATCGCTGTCGTCGGGTACAATACGATCTCGTAGCCTGTCATATGCATCATGAAGATCTCGCAGTTCTTGCTCTTTTGACTTCAGTCTCGCTTGTGATTCTTTGAGGCGTTTCTTCGTCTCCAATAAATCGTCGTTTACCTCTTTGTATTTGTTATCCATGGTGGTGAATTTGATTTCAGTTTTTGAAAGCTCTTGTTTGAGTCTGGTCTTCTCCACTTCATAGCTTGCGATCTTCTCTTTGTAACCACGTATGTCTTCAAGATGAGAGTGTTCTGTTTTCTTGAGTTTCAGAAGCTCTTCTTGAACTGTTGTCTTCAATGCTGAGACATGGACAATCTTTTCTTCCAGAGCCTTGTTCTTCTCTTCGGCAGCTTTGAATTTTAATGTAATGGTCTTATTTTCATTACTGAGGTTGACAAACCTTTCTTCCATCTCTTGCTTTACTTTCCCTGAGTCAGCAAGATTTTGGTTGAGCTGGGTGAATGATTGCTTCAAGTCATTAAGCTCTTCCTTTGCTCTTTTGGCATCAATCTCTGCAAGACGAAGATCCGCTTTTCGTCTGGAAAATTCATGTAGAGAATCATCGCTATTACATCTACTTAATGATAAAGAACCACTTGAAAGCCTTCGACGACTGTCCATCTCATCTAGAGGAGTGCTTGCATCACGTTGTACATCAGGAGCCATGTCACCAGCAGTTTCTGGTTCCTTAAGACGCGTTAGTGTCCAAATTTCAGCTCCAAGGTCCATGACCTCCTTCCTATACTGCAGAAGCTCATTCTCCAGATTAAGCCTCGATTGTGATTCATTGTGTAGCTCGCTTTCAAGATCTTCGATTTGTTTTTCGTAGTCGTACGCAGCGCTCTCGAGCTTTATCGTAAGTTCGTCGATTCTCGCTCGGAGCTTTTTGCTTTCGACTACTTCAATGGACCATAACTCACCGAGCCTTTTGTTGAGATTTAATCTCAGAGAAGATACCATTTGCCTTTGATTGCTATGAGAGAAAAGAGCTGATTCATCGTCTTCAAGTTTGACAAGCTCATCTTGTAGATTAACAAGAAATTGTTCAATATCGACAAGCTTTTTGGAAACAGACTTTTTCCTCGATGCATCGTCGTTATCATTATCGTTTGGGGAATTTGTTTGTCCATTGGACAATGCTACTGTTTCTTGACAGGAATCCTTGTGGTGATCATCTATTAAACCTTTTTTATCATCGTTTTTGGTAGACTTGTCGATCGGTGATGGAACTCTAGTTGTCTGAGTGCTTTTTGAGGAAGATGAATTGCTGTTCTTCATTTCCATAACTTTTTCCAGCTTTTCAAACTTTTCCTGAAATAAAAATTACATAAAGTCAAAAAATATGAACATTTTTTTCAATTGTCTGTGTCATCAACGAATGTTAAACAATTAATAACGTAACAGAACAGTTGGTAAGGTAACAGAACAGTTGGTAAGGTAACAGAACAGTTGGTAAGGTAACAGAACAGTTGGTAAGGTAACAGAACAGTTGTATAGGAGATGCATGTCTACATGGTTGGATGGAGTATAAAGAGTGTCATCAATTATAACAGACCACCAGCATTTAAAACAAGGGCAGTGATGGTAAATGGATATCACAGGGAAATGGAGGTATGTGGTTTGGGAAGAAAGTCACATGGGAAGGAAAACAAAGTAAGAATAAAAGAGAAAAACAGTCTTGAAACACAATGAGGGCCGGGAACACACATTTTATAAGGCAGAGTTCAACAAATGGTGAGCAGAGGCCTGGATTTTGCACCTCGTGGAATTTGCACTGTTTGTAAAGGGAAAAAGAAATAACCACAATGTGTGAGGGAACTTGGAGAGAAGCCGGAAAGACTAGGTCATGGTGATTTTGTAATGCGTTACATCAAGCACACGGTGGGAGACCAAAGATTAAGAAGAAAAGAACGTTATTTGACAAGGTAGTGAGTGGTTCATCTTCTGATAACATGCTGATTTTGTTGATTGACAGATTTATTCATTTATTTTGATATCAGTTAGTTTTACTCGATTATTGATTAATTTATTTGTGTTTACTTTTAATTTATTCTATGTGTGTTCATTTATTTATTCGATTATTTTTTTATTAATTTATTGTTGTTGTTGTTTTTATTGGTCGACTTAACTGTTATTTTCATTATTTATCATCATTATCAATATTATTTTTTATTCTTGATTTATTTATTGGTTAATTAATTAATTTATCCATTTGTTTTTGTATATTGAATTTGCCTATTTAAAAATATTATAAATATTTTTTGTCATTTTCTTCATTTATATTTGTTCATTTCTTTTATTTATTCTTCTGTTTATAAATCAGTTTATAAATTTAATTCGTTTTAATCTTAAATTTGCTTGATTTATTTATCTTCTGATGTCTGTGTCATCATATTCTTGGTCCAATAATTTTTCATGGTGAACTTTCGTAATATGCGGATAAGGATTGATTTTTTTGAAACTAACCTATGTATCATAACTGAATCATCTATGAAATAGCTAGTACCTATATTTCTCACTCTCCAAAAGTTATTTTCACTACCACACAATCGTGGTATCTCTATATATTGTATGTAAATAAAAATTATAATAAAAAATATATTTGCTTTCTTTGGGATTGTATGATAAACAGAATGTTATATGGTCGCTTGAAGATACGGATTTTATCTTCTCGTGTTGAAAATCGCTGCGCTCCTCTTGAGGGTTCTTTACACCACTCGAAGATAAAATCCGTATCTCTGCTCTCCCATAAAACTGTAAATCGGACAGTCTGATTCACCAACGACATAACGACTTAAGCATAAACACAAACATAAGCCTAAATCGCAATACCGATCAAAACCAACAATGAGCACCAATAAAACTTTATTAATATCATAATAACAGAGCTTATCAGGACAGAATGTTAATTGGAAATGAAATATTTGATGAAATTGTTTGAAGTTCTCGTGTTTTGGACTAAAGAAGTGTCGCCACTGTATTGGTTACGCATACTTCAGAAAGCATTCCCATCTAAAATAATCTTGCTTGCTTGACCAAAGTTTCCTCGAAGGAGATTCTTGTAATATTCTTCAGACGCTCTTGTAGTGGCAAGAGCACTGAACAGACATGTGTCGTTTAATTCCCTACTATAGCGATAAGCCGTCATCGAGCTTTGTCACAAAGAGGCATTCCTGCAGATAAGGGGGGTCCCCCTGTTTCACGCACGAAGTCATGTAGACAACATTACCTCAATCAGTTCAACTCAGAATACTGTCTGAAACCCTTGTCAATCAACAGGTTATACAGGACTTTGGTAAAGTAAACTGACAAACTCGGCTTGGAAGAAACCCGACCAAAAGACTGGCTGCAATTCACCTTTACTTGGAAGAACCCAAAAGACTGGTATTAAAGTCCCACATTTACCGATAACATCGATAACAATAGACTCGGAAGAATTCCAAATTCTGGATTGTAATATAATTCATTTATTGTCCTGGACTTGGAAGAATTCAAAAGGCTGAGTACTCTAATGAAGATCGCTGTTTAAATTCACCCATTACCTTGGACTTGGTAGAAATCAGGAATTGGAAAATAACTGGCGTCATCAAGGCTCTTCTTGACCTATTACATTGGACTTGAGCGAGCTCCGCTAGAAGGAATTTACCCATTGCATAGTACATAGGAAAAACTGAAAGGCAGTTATCACATTATCCAAAACAGGACATTGGAGGCGTTCACGCAAAATGGGGCAAGAACAGAAACACGTGGTTCAGGAAGGAGAGCTGTTCATTGAGGGAGTGTTAGTAGCACTGAGACCCCAACACCAGATTCCGCGTCAATTTATACGTCAATATCTATGCATTTGTACTGATTCTGGGCTGAAAAACAAAGTCGAACTTGTGAAATGGTCGTTAATATTGGTGTTATCGGCATGCTTCTTAGACCCTTGCGTGACTTTCAGCGTGACCCTTTACCTAACACAAGCGTGACCCAATAAAGATACCAGCGTGACACAAACACTGAAATGTTGGTGTTGATGATTGTCCAAATGTCTGTTATGTCTGTTAGTCAATCGACATCAAATGTTGAGCACTTGTTCTTTAGTTTTAATTAAGTATTCTCGTGTACGGGATCCCTGTATAAATCCTTGGCTGTAGGGAACTTGGCTCCAGTCTGGTCTAGTGCGCTAGAGTGCCTCTAATTATTATGACGTTGTCGTTACGTCACATTACATATGTATTAACCAATCATGAGCTATGAGTTAGTTTGTCATGCTATTGTTATGTTGAACATGCAAGACAGTCGTGACAACACTGGAAAGACTTCTGGACCTGATGTTAGTATGAGATACTGATGACTAAACACTGTTACTAAAAAAGTTCATACAAACCTTTGCGTTCTTGAGCTGCAACTGCAAATCTCTCTTCTCTTCTTGAGTATCTTTAAGCTCTACTTTAAGCTTTGCANAGATTCTTGTAATATTCTTCAGACGCTCTTGTAGTGGCAAGAGCACTGAACAGACATGTGTCGTTTAATTCCCTACTATAGCGATAAGCCGTCATCGAGCTTTGTCACAAAGAGGCATTCCTGCAGATAAGGGGGGTCCCCCTGTTTCACGCACGAAGTCATGTAGACAACATTACCTCAATCAGTTCAACTCAGAATACTGTCTGAAACCCTTGTCAATCAACAGGTTATACAGGACTTTGGTAAAGTAAACTGACAAACTCGGCTTGGAAGAAACCCGACCAAAAGACTGGCTGCAATTCACCTTTACTTGGAAGAACCCAAAAGACTGGTATTAAAGTCCCACATTTACCGATAACATCGATAACAATAGACTCGGAAGAATTCCAAATTCTGGATTGTAATATAATTCATTTATTGTCCTGGACTTGGAAGAATTCAAAAGGCTGAGTACTCTAATGAAGATCGCTGTTTAAATTCACCCATTACCTTGGACTTGGTAGAAATCAGGAATTGGAAAATAACTGGCGTCATCAAGGCTCTTCTTGACCTATTACATTGGACTTGAGCGAGCTCCGCTAGAAGGAATTTACCCATTGCATAGTACATAGGAAAAACTGAAAGGCAGTTATCACATTATCCAAAACAGGACATTGGAGGCGTTCACGCAAAATGGGGCAAGAACAGAAACACGTGGTTCAGGAAGGAGAGCTGTTCATTGAGGGAGTGTTAGTAGCACTGAGACCCCAACACCAGATTCCGCGTCAATTTATACGTCAATATCTATGCATTTGTACTGATTCTGGGCTGAAAAACAAAGTCGAACTTGTGAAATGGTCGTTAATATTGGTGTTATCGGCATGCTTCTTAGACCCTTGCGTGACTTTCAGCGTGACCCTTTACCTAACACAAGCGTGACCCAATAAAGATACCAGCGTGACACAAACACTGAAATGTTGGTGTTGATGATTGTCCAAATGTCTGTTATGTCTGTTAGTCAATCGACATCAAATGTTGAGCACTTGTTCTTTAGTTTTAATTAAGTATTCTCGTGTACGGGATCCCTGTATAAATCCTTGGCTGTAGGGAACTTGGCTCCAGTCTGGTCTAGTGCGCTAGAGTGCCTCTAATTATTATGACGTTGTCGTTACGTCACATTACATATGTATTAACCAATCATGAGCTATGAGTTAGTTTGTCATGCTATTGTTATGTTGAACATGCAAGACAGTCGTGACAACACTGGAAAGACTTCTGGACCTGATGTTAGTATGAGATACTGATGACTAAACACTGTTACTAAAAAAGTTCATACAAACCTTTGCGTTCTTGAGCTGCAACTGCAAATCTCTCTTCTCTTCTTGAGTATCTTTAAGCTCTACTTTAAGCTTTGCATTTTCTTCAACCAACGTTGAAATACCGTCTTTAATATCACTGCCTGTAGTCTTATTCAACTTGAGTTCTGGACTTCTCATGTTGTACAGTTGGAAAACGGACGACAAGTCGTTCTCAAGCATTTCCTTACTGCTCTTTACATCCTGTAAGAAGTTGGACGTCTCTGACAGCTTGGAATTTAGTTTACTGTTCTCACTAACGAGCGTTTCAACCTACGGAAAAAACGTTTGTGTTAGACAAGTTAAGTCTTTGTGATCTGCAGCCATAGTTCGTCCTCACCATTGCGTGATAAACTCGAGAAGAACTTTGGAGAGAGATATTTCAATGATTACATTTTCATTAAAAATATCAGCGATTTTTTCTGTCCTTGCGCGAAAACAAATATGAGTTTTCGGTCTGACTTTACCCATACTCCATTTCGGTGTAGATACGCGCAAACGTGAGACTGACTTTTTTAAAAAGACTTCATTCCATACCTGTAGTCGCATGACCTCAAGTTCTTTATTCAAATCTTTATTATTCTCTGATAACTTATTGCAATGTCTCTGTACTTCCGATTGTTCCAGTAATAAAAGGGAGCTCTGCAAAGCCTTGTCAACCAGAACGTGACAAAGCGATTGGTCCAGGAAAGCCATCTCTGTCTTCAACATGGAGACAGATGAGTTGTCATGTGCTTTATCTGTATAAAAAACAATACCATTCTCAGCAATGGTCCCTTTTACCTAATGACGTTGTTGGATGTTCGAATGTACAACTTATTCAMCGTTCTTCAAAGCATCTTCAACAACATTAATTTCACAAAGAAACGTCTATTTGCATTCGCTACCTTCAAACCATGATTACCAAGATGCATTTCGCCCAAACAAACATGACGTCACTAGTGGATCATTCAGCATACAAGGCGGAGCAGTGTTATAAAACAGTTTTAATCATCTCACCTTCAAAACGTTCACGTTGTTGTAGAAACTCCACCATGCGATCATAAACCTTTTTTCTGTCATCTACACTAATGCAGTCATCCAATGCAAAGGCTTTCTTTAGGAAACCAATGGCGTCGCCATCTAATGCGCATTTTATATCAATAAGTTTGTCACGAAGAGACTTTGTTAATTGAAAAAACTTTGTTTGATTTGATTGTTGGTCATCATCATCACGAGATATTTGTGATTCAATGACTTTATCATCGTCCGTCTTGTTCCAAGACAGTTCTTGATGTTCAGAGTTCAAACCATTGGATTCATACGAGGAGCCAATATCAAGCTTTTCCCCATTCAATAAAGCCATTTCTAAATCTCTGAGATTCAAACCACTTTTTTCTAACTTCTCACCATACTGACTGTCTAGTTTCAAATAACTTTGTAAGAGTTGAAGCACGTTGTCTGTGTTTTCTAAGACCTTTTCACGAACTCCAAGCAGCTTTTCTCCTGAGTACAAGTATTCTCCTTGCATTTCACTGGCCAATTGTTGTCGCTGTTCGTCTGGCAAACCCTGTATGGTGTAGAATAGCTGCATCGAGAGCAGCTCTGCGAGTAACGCAGTCTTAGCTCGATTTACTCCACCACTTATACACCCTCCCAAGGAGGATAATTGCTCTCGCAGCTCACTGGAAAGATGTTTTTCTCGTTGTAGTTCTTCGTCGACTTGTTGCATTTCATTCTTGAGCTCTTGCTCCTGAAAATACGATGTTAATCTTTAGAGAGCTTGACTGTGGATTGTCAGCCATGTGGGACAGGTTCAGGAGACATAGTGCGCATGTGTAGTAAACAAATAAACTTACCTTGGACTCAAAGAGACTACGGACTGAGGACAACGCCTCTTGTGCTGCTACCATGGAAGAGCTTATTTGACTTTCAGCCTCCATTTTAACCTTCTCGATACGACTTTCATATGATTCCTTGAGATCTTCCATGTCTTTTTCTGAATGTTGAATGATGCATTTTAGATCAGCTAAACATGTATGTTTACGATTGTGATTGTGATTAATAGTAGTACCTCGTGAGTTCAGCATCTTTGTTAAATCATCACTAAGCTTCTTGTAATCAACCTAAAAAGAATGGCATTTATGTTAACAAACGTAAACAAGACACGYGCAGATAAACTACATGAACTCTATGGACCTGAATTGACTTATTTTATTATCACATATTACCTCAACGTTGACATATGCAGTATTTGTTATYTTCATGGCACGCGAGCCAAAGTTCAAAGTACTCTTAGTTTCACTAACATCGCTCATAGTCGGGGAAACGCATACCTATATCACACAACAGACTATTAAAAAGCAAATAATACCAATCCATAAATATATAACATAGCACATTACACAGACTGCAATAATTGCCGTTCACTTATAGCTGGTTGCCAACGCTAGGAGGAACTGTCTGGGAAAGTGCTGACACTGCTATTGTTTCAGCTGCCTTTGCACCGTTGCAGAGTCCTGATAGTGCCGCTGTTACGAGTACGTTATTCAAYCATGKSTTTTACTTACTATAAGACTAGTCTTGCAATTCCCTCCTAGACTTTCTTGCAATAATCGCGTTAAAGTCGAGTTCCTAAAAGGCACGTGAGTTTTTGTTCCATCTGCTAAAGCATGAATAACATTTCTGAAACGAAAAAAACTTGCAGTTCATAGAGAGTTGCGCTAATTTACTGTTCATCATSAGGAGAATCTTACCCTAATTCCAGTAAAGATAAATTAATGTGTTGGGCCTCRCTGAGCCTCTCTCCTTCTGCATGTGTTTTTTTCAAKCGCTCACTTCCTGCCAAATCACACCTGGTTAAAATCAAAACCACGATCATTAAACATAAATGATGGGTACATRGAGAGTAAAAGTAGTCCTTTTGCAACTCCAGTGCCACTGGGATCCCTGTGTGCAAAACTAAAACACCTGCAAGAAGATCATTGTGTGTTGAAGCAAGAAGCATTTGAACTTACAAATGTATTCTTCCACGCACAAGTACATCGTCAGTAAAAGTCATTTTAGCCAGGGAATCCTGTTCTTCCACTTCCTATGGAATTGCCAAATAAATATTGAACATTTCAATTACCAAACCGATTCACAAACAGAACGATAGAACAGCAAGATTGAGTTTAACAATTTTTTTTATTTAAAATATTTGACCTACCTCTGTTTCAGAGGGACCTTCAGGAATACTTGAGCTTGCAGCTAAAGTCTGTAAAATGTAGGTTCAATAAAGTAATTATAACAGCTTTAAGAAACTGTTTAATGGGCAGTAAAATTACTATCAATCTTCAAAACACAATATGCAACACAGCAATGGCATCCTATCCACATTGATCAACTCCAAAAATAGCTAGTATATGGCATGGCCTTCAGGAGTTTGTAGGGTGATCAGGTCTACTTGTACTGACGTACTAATACTGATCTCTCCATCATTGACATTCTGTATRTAAGAGACAGCCACCTCATTGCGACAACTTAGATACTYRCCTTTTTAGGGGAGCCAGTTCGTCTTGATAGACTATTAGCTCTYGGGTCCTTGCTTGGACCTGCAGTAGAAAACAACTCAAAGGTTAAAATAAACTTTTTCTCAAATTTGCATGAGAGGTCCTAAAAAAATAGTTCTAAGTCCAGGTTAGAAAATGTTCAAATCTATTAACCCCATACAGCTTMAACTGTCTTTGATCATGAAGGTGTTTTTGGAAAGACAAGAGTCTGAGAAAGTGTGAGTCAAGGAAAACTGGATAAAGTAATCAAACTTACTTTTCTTTTCATTGGGCACACAATCTTTAGGTTTACTGCCTTCCTCTTTGCTTAAGGTTCGTTCTATTAATAGCATACACACAGAATGGGACCTGAAATATGGAAAAAATAATATTWCTATAAACTGCATCTTACATATCCTTGAATACCAAGAAAAACTATTTATGAATAATAATTATGCACAGTAAACTGTGAAATACTTTCAAAAGCATTGGTAATAAGTCTTCTCTGTTTTTCTGTTGGTGTACATCATTTTCTACAGTACTGCAAGTACTTTAAACCTACAATGCAGCTCATCTGTTATTATTGCATATTTTTATGATAAACTGTTTACCTGCTTGATGTGCGGTTCATCTTTGTCTCTGCAAATACCAATCTTTTCTTTCCTACAGCTAAGAGATTCATGATTTCTGATGGAGCTCGTACCACAAACTCTGATAAATTTTCTACATAAACACCTGGACAAGCCAAAAATATAGTCAGATATCATTACCTAATATTACCGATAATATTAATAATAATTAACTAGTGTCCTTAATGGGATTAGATAACTATTCTCACAGCAGGTATAAGTAAGTCTTGCATGCACTTTAATAACATGGAAATGCTAGTATCCCTCATATGTGAAATATTGACAGCAAACTTGTATTTCATTTATAATTATTTGATGATGATGATGATAATAGCAAATATTGTTCATAAATAAAAAATCCACTGGTACCATTATCATTAAACTAATATTTTTATGTAATCATCATTTTCAACATTATCTGTAACATACCCTTTTGAGGATGTTCTCTWATGGTTAAGTCTACTTTATTGGTAGAGTTTAGAAGATCATAGATCTTTTCTTGGTAGATCTGGAGGTATGACATTGATACCTATATATGTACCAAACATATCAAAAAGTTAATGTATTAATCAGGAAATATATGTATTTGTTCATCAATCAATGAAAGATGATTTATCATTAGAGTGAAGTCAATGAACCCGTGAAATACATATTTGACTATTACATGTTATTACTCGATAATTCCATTGTTTTCTTTTGTGTCTATTTGACTATTACAGTTTAATTATTAACTTTTATTTCACAGGATCAATGCCTTCACTCTATTAATAAAAAAAATAGTTAATCAATTATTAATTATAATTAATTATTTATTATTATTATCATTATTATCATTATTAAATATATATTGTAGAAAACTGTAAAACATTTGATATTGTAAATTGGTATTTTAAATATTTTTTTCAATAAATTATCTATTATTTATTATCAATATCATTATTATTATTATTATTATTATCACTCTAATGTATACTGGTACCTTATAATCATGCTTGGAGTCTTGCATAATCCTTTTAAAGCACCGATCAACCACTCCTGCTGCGATACCATCTGGTGCCATCAAAGTATATGTCTTTCCTGCAACAAAAACCATTAGATAATTAGTGTTAAATGGTCAGTCAGTCAAGATGTCATAAAGGCATCTTCTTTATTGAGAAGAACAGTTAAATGATTTTATATTGTTGTTTCCATTGGTATGTCTCCAAATGAAATACATGAGTGATTTATTGACCTGAGCCAGTTTGACCATAAGCCATTAATGTTCCATTGAAACCATTGAGTGCAGACGTGACAATTGGTTTGCAGAGAGTGTTACACACCTAAAGAATGACACATGTCAATCATTAAAGAACATATCAAAAACTAATTCATGATATTCTACTTTATATGATCGCTTCTTTTCATTTATTCTATTTCTTGAAGAATAAGTTTGAATTGTGTGCAATAATTGAAATTTAAAAGCCATTTAGCTTTAAAAAACTAGTTTTCAAAGACTAAAATGGCTCTACTGCAAAAAAGKTATAAGTTGGCTGTAGTTTTCACTTGATAAAGTTGTAATATGAAGATCAACTCTGTTTTTCCTATTTGTTAGGCATTTGTCTGAGTACACGTGGCCCTTTAATGATGGAATCTATTATATAATACACATACATACCAGTCAGAGTTCAAGCATGCAAATAAAGATTCTCAAAAATGATTATATAATGTAGTAATCCCCTACCTCATGGTTTGTAGCACCTGATGGAAAAACATGATCAAAAGGGAAATCTTTCTCATAGCTATGCTTTGGATCACTGATATGTATCTAATAAAAGAAATAAGGTAAAAACCATTAATAAAATTTGTGTAAGTACTGTTTCATGACAACAGCCTGTTTTCATATCCTTTGACCTTTCAACTGATAAATGTTTTAGATTCCTGTCATATCCTCTAGAACTTTATGTGGACCATATCCCCAGGACATTCAATTGTTTCCAWTCAGCTTTTGCCTCAGAAAGTCCCCTCTTTCCAACTTTGAATTTTGATTGTTGTCTCATGTTTGGTCTGGCTGTTCAAATCTAATAGCACCAAAGCTTATCTGACTAGTTTAAATTTTGATATTTTTTTATAATTCTGAACTGAGATTGTAATATAGGAACACCCTTTTAACTTGGTTTTAATAAATTCGAACTAAACAAATGATACATTTTGCCTTTATTTAATTAAATGCTTATTGATCAAAAATCTTTAGAGGTTAAAATCAGGTAACATTGTCCCCCAGTGTGCACTCCTGCAGTTGTGGTAGCAGAGTAAGAAATATTACTCTACGATGAATTAGACTAATTCTGAACATATTTCATCCCAACAGCCCCGTATTTTGTGATATTGTATTGTTATCTTAAAATTGAAAATAACTAATTTAATTAGTTAAACTGCCTCTTACATCTCACCTGTTTACATAATYACCAATTCCTAATTTATGATAAATTATTATAATGTAGAGATGTTGTCTATAATATATTACACACAGTTTTCAAGTTTTTTGTCCTCTATAAACTGCTATATTTTTACTTGTTTCATGAAGTTTAATTTCTTTCAAAACGCCATCAGGTAGATTTGCCTCCATCTTGTCCCAAATGTAAACTGCAATATTCTCGGCGGAACTGACGACATTTCTAAAATACTCCACATCTAATTCCAAATTCTTGTGATCCAGCTCACTAAGCACTCTTTGAATATCGTCCTTCAAGCTGACTAGGTTTATAACCATGCCGGTGTCTTGATCTACGGGGCCTTCTACGGTCACTTCCACCATGTAGTTGTGCCCATGGCCATTTTTGTTGTTACATTTTCCAAAGATTTCTTTGTTTTTTTCGTCGGAAAACTTAGCATTGTGAAGTCTATGTGCCGCATTAAAGCATTCAATTCTTGTAACGCTTACTATAGGTCGTTTATCTGATTCAGTCATGACTGAATATAAACTGAAATGCGCTCAATTCAGAGAATACTTCCTACTACTCCACGTGAATCTTTGCAAGACTTTGAACTGACATGTTGCAGTGTGACCTGGGACAAAGGGCGGGATTTTCCCTGGAGCCTGGGAATGAGGCTTTAGGGATTTGCGCCCCGCTTTGGTCTCTTCATACTAAATGACCGCCTTCTAATGACAAAGTTTTCCGAACTTTACCGCCACTCTTAGCTTACAATTAACTACATTATGTATCAGTTACAACTCAAGGTGACATTTGACAGGACTTACCGATGAATTGAGCTCAGAAACATCGACAGCTGTCTTTTCCTTCTTGGTAACTTCTTGTGGTTTCAATGGACGAACCCTGACAAACACTTTCACTCGGCCTGAATCTACACAAAGAAATATTTACAAGAAATGTGAATAWAAAGCAATCAAAAAGAATCAATTAGGCTTTAAAAATGGAGGTTAAGTACCCTCGATCAAGCAAAGATATGCTTTACAAAGTGCCTGCAAATGACAGGCGTTCCTGGCCAGACGGAGCACTGAACTGGAGACTGAGCGAGAACTCCTCCCAACCTACAACTCCCGGGGAATACCGGGGAAATTTAACATCTTTAAATGTTAATTTCAACATTGTTAATGTCGAAGTTCCCGGCACTTTAGACGTTATTCTCCCATTAATTTCCCTGGCCTTTCCGGGGATTGGTAGCCGGGCCGTTCAATTGATCGATGCATAGGTAAAAACTACTTGTTTCAGAGTACGCCTYGCTAGTGTTGAATTATTTTTTATTTACAAATTACGAAACACTTCTTTTATAACATATTTTAGCTTGATCACAGGCTCCTTGACCAGGGGAACCTGTTGTCCAGGTTAAATCATTACCTCGTCCAACTTTGATGGCAGCTGCTTTCTCTTGACCTCCTTTACGAGGCCCTTCTGACTTCTGGGCCGCACGGGCCGCTTCATTAGGTCTCATTCTGTTGCTTTATTGTTATAGTAGAATCAAAAAATCAACCATCTCTTCGTCTTGAATGTAAACACAAATACTTTTTAGTAATTATGGTAGACGATGGAATTGAGTTGTGACAGAATGATGACGGTGATGATGGAGATGAATTTTATAATAAATCTATTGAAAGCATCAAGGCATCAAGGTTAGATTGAATAAAAGCAAATGCATATATGTGAAAAGATATAACAGCAATCTTATTTGAACAAGAATTATAGCAACTCCGACGAAGGATTAACATCCGAAACGTCAGTAAGTTTTTCCACATACTTTTTTACGGTGTTAAATTTATCTTTTTACATAACTGTTTCTTTAGAAACACCGACGCAGCTCACACTAGTTTACCGCTAGTTCCCACCATTATAGCAATAATGATGGCTTTCTAATGATATTTTCATCGCAACCCTTAATATAGGTCGCTCGCCCTTTGATTTTTGTTATAAAAACCGCTGACCATGCATGGTGCGTGAGTTAAAAGTGGTAGCCGCGGAGGAGAGTACGAACGCTTTAACAAACATGTACGTCAATGAAAGATGACTGATGACTATCACGATATTGGTGCTCGCTCAACTTACTGCATACATACGCACTCCGTCAAACTAATTGAAACTCTAATTGCATTAAATTATGTTATTTCATTGCTTTTTCAAAACATTATGATTAGATTCCAGTAGTTAGACTATAAATGCTTGGGTTTTATCCGCAAAAAGGAACTTGCCCCTTTTTACCTAAAAAATGAAAGTAGTATAACTGCTGAGAAGATCGGAGAGAAATTATCTGTACTTTATTCTTATACCTTAAAATATCACTTGCACTACTTGATGGATCTAAAAAGTTTAGTAGAAATAGTTCAGCTAAATTTCAAGACAACTTTTMCTTTTCAGCAAAATTGTAAGCGCAAGTCATTAAGATCCTGCTCGAGGCTACCTTGCACAATTAGTAAAATATCGCTAATCTGTTTTTAAAAATAGCATAGTAATTTTAATTAGCCCCATGCAGTTAAAAAAAAACGAGTCCAATTTTAACTTGGCCTGGTTTTATGTGTGTAGTTTGAAGAGATAATRCGAGGCCTCAGATTAACGTTTTCGTCAGTGATGTCCCACAGACGAAGTGAAATTTAGACTAGACTTCAGTTTATAAACATAGTTGTATTCATTGCTTGATAAAATTTCTAAAAGTACACGAGAGAAATTTGCCTTACATCATGTACTAACGTGCTTACTAAATTGTTTCTTTAATATATAATTTAGCTTGATACTAAACATATGAGCGTCACGTACGTCGACTCAAGATTGACGGCAACTAAGGTTAAATGAGCTGCACTAGCTTGACTAGCAGTACAGCTTGTATTGCTAAAGTAAAAATATAAAGATGTGATAAAATATAAGTATCCACTACAAGAAGATAGAACACTTCTTAACGTTTTGGACTTTCTTTAGAAACACCGATGCATTCTCGCACGGCTAGTTAAACGGTTCAGATCAGCTCTACCGATACTTTAGACGTAGAATTGAYAGCGTTGCAAGACTAATRAGTTTTGTAAAGCGAAAGTGCGCCACAAAAACGCATCTTTAAAAACTCAATAATAATGTTTTGTGAAAACAATATTCTAAAATGACAGATGGATATGATAGTGTCATTTGATATTCTGTAATGCTCATAAATAAATGACCCTGAAAATTGCAAAAAACAAACTTATAGCTTTTGTACAAGAACAAGAATTCTAAGAAGAACAGGCAATTGAAAAATGAAAGGCGTCAAGWTGAATTCTTAAATAAAACTGCAAAAATCTTATTTTTTTTTACCTATGGGTTTGAAGGACGCTTCGTAGCTTACTTCAATTTTTCTAACATCAGGGCCAGTTTTCACTATAGCGGCGTCCAGGGTCGTTATRAAAACATTTGTACATTTGACCGATTTAAGAMAGCTTAGTTAAAATCATTCCTCAGGTGAAATGATGACACGATTCGTTTTTACAGCTAACGCCATGTTAACCAATACATACACAATGCTGTTATGAGTCAAGGTTGTTTTTGATGCTTACCTCATAGCCAAATTCCCCCAGATGGGTGGACTTAGTAGTATATTCACTACCCGCAATAAAAACAAACTAAACAACGTATTTTTCTAAGTAAAATGCAATAAGATCTAGTAATATCGTGCGGTAATTTTATCAAGTAATGATTGCAATTGCTTCAATATCAACAACACTCCATATAAGTACTTTTAAGGAGACTACGGATGACCGTATAAACAAAGCGCCGCCATATACATGTTCCTCCAGTCACCTGTTGCTGGTGACAAACGTCACAGAAAAGACTGGCTCTGATTGGATGAAAAAAGGCGGGAAATCTTGGCAGGCGCATTTTTCAACGCGCACTGTAATCGTGTAAACTTTTATGATTCATTAACCGAAGAAAGATTACACTATTATAGCGATGATTAGAATGTTATAATCTAGTATTTTRTTGAACGAAATGCTGTTTATCATAGCCCAGTCCAGTTGGCAACGTTTGTTGAACTCATCGAGTTGTTAAGGCATGTTATGATATATGTTTTTTTTGTTTTTGAAGGTTGACGAGTGTAATTTCGTTTCTGCCATGATGCACTTCATTKGTTCGTGATTGACTGGACCATAAAATATGACAAAACGATTGAGCTATCAATTACCTAAGTACTTAATGACCCATTTATTTGTCTCTATYTACCATCAAATTGTCGTTTTCATTACTATATAAAGCTCTCTAGAAGTTTCGATACGAAACGGAAGTCTTAAACTTTCAGTAGCAAATATTTTATAAAGTTCATTTGATAATTAAAGGAGGTTTTGACAATATTTGTAGGACACATCAAGCGTGTGAATAGCGAAGTGGTCATGAATGAACTGGCCTGTTACCATAGTAATAATAATTCAGTTTTCAAAGTGATATCGTGTATTTCCCGCAACCACTATGCAAGCACATTCTCCAACGTTTCTTTATCATACTAAACTCTTTGATGTAGTTTGATGTATCTATTAATTGATACTTTAGTTGTGTGAAAAAGTAAAGGGAATTATTTTTGAAAATTGATCTTTTATTTCCCAGCAATTGCTGCCTTGGATGATCACTGATGGGAGGATTTTTTCTCATGTGTTTTATACTAAAGCACAACATTACATCGATTTATAATAGATATTAGACCAATTTTACAAGAAATCAACTCGTCAATCCTGCCCCGATATCATGATATCATCCCTTGTTGAAAGTATCAATGTGTTTGCTAAGGTTAATTTGACAAACAAAAACATGCCAGTGGGGGGTGCCCTTTGGCGATCTTGAGCTCACGGAATGCTTTTCCTAGTAAAATCTATCTATTAGGAAACATCTGTAGATACTTGATCACTCCTTGGATAAAAAATTCAACCATTTTTGAATCGGCAGTAAAGAAATACATCTCAGTGCCGTGAGTCACCAACACCCAGGTTTTGTCAATGGGTGGGGTTCAGTGGTTCACAGAGGAAAGGGCGGTTCCGCTTGGCGGGTAAAATCCTTATGTTAATCTCTTTAGTTTAATTGTTCCCGYTTTTCCTCCAGCTGCTAATGTAGCTAAAGAATGACTTAACGCTGCTGTACCACGTTATAAATAGACTGATAACAATATAAAGGCTTCTACATTACTATTGTCGTTAAATGTAGACTCAAAGTGACTTTTGCAGTACTTCATACGTATGRCATAGGGCAATTACAAATGACACGAAAAAATAAAACCGATTGCTGAAAAAACACGTGCATTAGAATATAACGAGCTACTGGCTATAGCTCGCTGAATTTAAGTCGTCTTGCTTAATTAAAATATTATTCCATACCATTGATCTTCAATTGGACTATTTCTAGATCTTTCAAAATGATATTTTTGTGTAAATTAGACAACCGTGGCGCACCCATAAGTGATCACATGGTCCAAAATAGATGATATTTGAAGAGTAAAAAAAAATGTACTTCAATTGTATGCACTGGATATCGATAAAAAACTATAAAACAGTTGGTTATTGACCACAATGCAAAGAGACAAACTTAACATTCTTAATAAATATGTTTTTGCATTGAAGCCATGTAATAAATCTCTACAGTATAAAGTCCTGTTGCGTGTGTAACTAACACGAACAGCACGCTTTTATTGACAGTATATGCAAGCTTTAGTATATCACAAGCGTATAATTCTTGGTTCAGACCAATAACTTCTAAAAGTGTTATTTGTGTTATTCSGTAAAAAGCGTTAGCAACTGACATGCTACTGGTTCACCTACAGTACAATACTCACAGTTTTCTACATATTCTGTAACCCAATGAGATTTACACAGGGAATCCAGACTGATTGATTCCAACATCCTTGTTATTATTTGTAATTTGAATGGATTTCCTTATTTCTTCCAGAAAGAAGCCTTTTGGTATCATATATCCCAGTGGAACCTATCAAGGTAATCAAAATGATCAAACGTTCTGGAACGGCCCGATGCACGTGAACAGTTTCCCAGGTAGTAATTTCATATTACAGAATTTTCTTGGAATGTTTACTTGTTTGTTTTGATATCAAAATTAAAAATACTGGTTAGACCTGTCAAAGTCTGCGGGTGGTATACTATAGGGTTGCTATGGTCACGCTTTCCATGACGTTATATGTAGAAATAGACTTATCATATCGTAAAGTTTTACAGTTTTTTATAACTTTATTGGGATGCCTGGGACTTAAGGGCTATTGTAAGGTCTCACGGAAGGCGAATATCTAGTTAAAACGCGAGAATAAGTGGTAATGTGACAAGGAAAATATTGTTAGAATTAACAAATAAGAATAATGACCGATAATTAATTCAATTAGCTAATGAATAGCAGTACAAAACGCGAGTATTAACTTAAACCTTCGTCTAGAATCAAAAGTTCTAATTTAAATCATACAACTTAATCGTCCTTAATGTAGGCCTGGCTATTTACTGGGCTACCTGTGTACTCTTGCTCATACTGATTTGCATTCCCACCAATCAAACAGTCGCATCTATCTAGCGTCAATCATTGATGTTGATATACTGAGCTATAGAGCGGATTTCGTATGAGTGGGAAACGGACGGTACTGTACTGTGACCGTAATCGTACTGTAACCAAATTCTAGTGCCCCACTAGCTCACCAAAATTGTGCAGGTCTGGTCCGGTAACTGTGCGGTAACCGTGCGGTAACGGTGTCCCACTCATGCGAAATCCGCTCTAAGGCTGTGGAAAATCGGGGAAGCTACTTTCCGATTAACGYTAAACAGTTAGCTTCTCAACTATTAAAACTCAGTGGAAGTTGACGAGAGCCCATACGCTCTTGCATAAACATGCTTGTGTAGCGCGTTCAAAATACTCCAGTTTCAAGATCTCATGAGGGTTTTAGTTTTTTACGGCGAACTCCAAACGTCAAAACTGATCACGTGATCGCTGTTTTTCTGTATTAACGCTCCGTTCTTTCGCGATTGTCTATAAGACTGATAAGATAGATCACTTTTTCGTGCATAAACGCATTACTATTACTTTCGAAGCGTTTTTACGGTTGTTTGAAATTTTGAAACAAAGCACAAAATCCAATTTGACGTTTGACGTTTGTAGTAAACGTGAATCTAAAACTCTCATTATTTACGCAGCCTTGACCTCGGAAGCGTGGTAGTATGCTTTTATACTCATCTAATGTACAAACTACTCGTACAAAGAAGAGACTGAAGTAAGGCTAAGGATGTGCCAAAGAGATTTCGCAGCTGGAGAAATGTGTGTTAAAAGCAAAACAAAATAAACAAAAAAATAGGCCGATGATTAGACGTTGATTTTTGGAAATTAGAAAATTAACTCCCATCTTCCTCAGAATGATMTTTTCTTTCCCTTTTTTGCATTTTAACATGTATTTCAAGTGAATAATTCTTAAAAACGTTAAGCTGGTAAATGCTTTGCTGATTGCTGTCTGATTCGAATCGTCTTTTCTTCCTCTTGCTTCCAACGAATATGATTGGGTGCTGGGTGGTGGAACTATCTGGGCGTTAACATTACGCCTGATATGGCCGTCAATCTATCAAACAATGAATACATCACAGTTGAATGCATTTTTTCCTTCTTCAATCGTTGCGGGTTACTTGACTTAGACATAATCGTCTGGACTCTTATAAGGATGATTCAAACACAAGATACACCTCTTAGGTACAGCTGCAGTCTTCATCCGCTGTCCGATGACATTCTGKGTMTAATTACCCTGTCTGTATGAAGTGTTAAGGTACGTAACTGCAAATGTGGCGTTTTTGTGRACCCACTTCTTGTAGTCTTGTTAACATAATGTTATCTGAAGGAGTCATAATTAAGCTAAATTTATGAATCAATTTCGATCCTTTGACAKTGATAATGAAAATCTTTCTTCACAGGTAACTTGTATAAAAGGAAAAAAAAGTTAGACATTTACAGAGGGATTAGTGAAAAAGTGTATTTTGAGTCCAACTTGATCTCTCAGTCCTAATTTGCACATGAAGCCACGATGAGGAAGCATCGGAGCGTTACAGAGCCTCATGCATCRCTACAATATCATGGAAACACTTTTCAGTATCAACAAGAATTGGATAACTTCACCAAATCTGTCATTGAGCTAGAAGCCGTTATTTGCCATACATCAGAGAACCCAAATCCAGAGATTCTCCACGAAAAAAGTGCAACTCACACTCTCTATTTGCCTCAGGGGGCAGACAGATTTGAACTAAGACAGTGTCATGCAAATTTGAAACAATTTAGAGACTTAGAATCATGTACAGATGAATTAGTTACCAAAAGACAGCAAGTTTTTCAATCGCCATTGAAACAGTCTACTTCAATTRTTGGTGATRTCRACGGAAATGGGCCGAAACAAGGCATCAATGGCGGACCGTTGTTTAGAGACGAATCTGAGAGTCATATTCTTGGTGGCATTCATCTATCKAGAGTKTACTTTTCTCAACACTCTATCAATGGAAAGCAAACTTTGCAAGAAGCACAAAGTGGAGATGTTCAAAYAATGAATGAGACATCAAGAAAAAGTGAAAATAAAACTCGAAGTAAACGTCGAAATGTTCAATTTGATGAGCGTGATGCAAAGAGATTATTACCGATGGAAGCTAAGAAGCACCCCAGTCATCCGAATCCATCCACCAACAAGCGGAGCATCAAAGGGCTATTTCAAAAAACTTCAACCCAAAGCAAAAAATTGCATCGACATAGAATGTTTTCAGATAAGTACGTTTATTTTTTTTCGGAGTCTGAACACTCTAGCCTGAACACCGATAAGRAACACTGTTCACAGTTTAAGCAGCACAACTCTGGCTTTAGTGGAAAACAGCAAGAYGCCAGCAYAAGCTCACCAAGTGCTCAGCAGAGAAAGACYTTCGAAACCARTTTTGAAAAGGAGGAARAAAATGACTCATCAGAGATGCAGGTTGTCGTGGACAATGATGGGCGAGTGTTGGTGAATGTTCTTCATGGTAAACAAAAGACCAATCAGCAACCACCATCMAACACTCATCAAATTGATCTTCAAAGACCTAAAGAGGGCTACGTAAACAAACATGAACATGATATGTATGATAAAAATCCTCCTCGTCAAGAATCTAGTCTGCCTGCCGGACAGACTAGACACATTTATGCAAAAATGAAACTTGACAGTTCGTTTTCAGCATTACACGACGCTACGCACTTCCAAGATATGAACAACGAGCAAACTCTGCTATATCCAAGAGGTTATGGAAACAGGGTTCTCGTGGTGCGCAATGATGAAAAACCTAGTGGAAACGACCCTGCTTTTCCCAACAACATTCCAAGGTACGTACAAAGAGACTGTGAATATGGCCATCATGACCATGAAGGACGTTACCAACCAAAAACCCTCCCAACCAGTCATGATAACCACTTCCGAGAAAGACAACCAGCGCGTTCTGYATTTAACACTGTAGCAAAGAGAAGCTCTTTTATTAACTATCARGTCAATACAGAACAAAAATCAAGAAACGATGGTRTTGGTGATACATCTTGTCAAATCCATAAMCCGATGGGCGATAGGCGAGCGACTAGCTTCTCTCAAACAAATCCTGATCACTCCTTTACATCGCATCAAAAAGCAACACCCAAGACAATACCTGAGTCACAAGAAACTAGCCAACCAAATKTAAATACCAGCGAMGTGGAAATTGATGTCAACAATTCACAATCACGCAAGGATCTCACTGAAGACAAAAGTAACGCACACTTGAGCAACAGCAATGAGCAAAGATACCGGTGTGACTGGCCAGCATGCACTAAAGCATTTCGTCACTACTCGTTTCTAGTCCTTCATCGACGTATACACACCGGAGAAAGGCCCTACAATTGTTCCTGGGAAGGGTGTAACAAGCAGTTTCGACGATCAGACGACTATCAGAGACATTATCGAGTGCACACCGGCGTCAAGCCWTATCCCTGTATCATATGCGGCAAAGCATTCAAGCGTTCTGATCACCGACTTTTCCACTATAGGGCCATTCACAACATGTATAAACAATAACCACAATATGAACTACTAGAAGACTCTTGAGCTGTGTGCAAAACCCGTGAAACAAAATGCAGTAGTCCAACAGCCTCACCATTTCTATTTTAGTAGAATTCACGTTATAAACAATAAAACTTTTTATTAGAATAAAAAATACAACGAATTCAAAACTTAACTCCTGAAACAATGGAGAATAGACCCTTGTAGAGGTGCAGTAGTCAAGTAGACACGATAGCGAAAAACAGTTTATAACRGTCTGCAGAAATACATGGAATGTATAGATTGCAATAGTATGTCAAGCTAAGAACGAAAAATAAAATTTGCAATGGATTTTGAGKGACTATCAGCTTTAGTAAAGTAAACGGCCATAAATCCGTGAAAAGGTCCCTAAACTCTCCAATTCTGGAGCCCTTGAAGTGACACTAATACAATTTGATAACCGCAGTAAAATAGGTTTGGTTTTGTGTTTAGTGTGGATTTCATTAACCCATGAAATACAATTTAGCATGCTAAACTTAATAACTCTTTATTGCGCAAGTTTTTATTTGTCTTTGTCGGTGAATCGCACTTTAATAGACTTCTACATTTTTGTTTCACGGATTTAGGAAAGCCAATCTATTCTTGGATTATTGTATCTTTCCTTCTAGATTTTCTACAATAGGCTTAGTACCAACAAAAACCTTACATGATCTTTGTTATTTATCCTGTCTTCTTAATAAATGAATAAAAACGTGCGATCAAGACTGCTCTAATGGTCTAGCTGTAGGAATCAGCTACCGTAGCAAGAAGGCACTGAAGCGCTACAGCTGTCTGCTATTCACTTGTCTTCTACTTCTTTTCCCAGCCTGATAAGCCAACAGTTTTATGAACAAATTTCTTAACTTTCAAATAACATATCATCTCTCTAAACGTTAGAGTACTTTTAAGACAATCGCTATSATTGCGTGATAAGCACCAAGTCAATTTTAAGAGCGCCTACAGAGAGAGACAGATTTGTTATTWGCCCAGACGATGTACAATGAATGTCAATTTACGGATCACCAMGTCTGCACAATGTTTCTTGCGGGAGTTAAGCTGAGTCATAGTTTGATGCTCTGAACACCCTGCTGTGCRTATAGTTGTTTTCTGTTTTTTAGTKCAATATACAAACGGACCAACATTACCCAAGGTGTTACATACAATTTATGTATCTATAAAAAAAAAAGAATTTACTCTGTATTGTTTTAAATCTATTTTGCTATTGTTTATCTGTATTTTAAAATGCAATAATTAGTATTTTTGGTTCTTGCTTATTAGTAACACAACTCGACATGACTCGATAAACTATTAACACRATAGCAAGTACAACAATTAGTATTTTCATGCACGGAAGGGAAATTGAAACCTWTAGAATCACAGCCAACCATATTATTATAGTTTATGCGTTTTTACCAGCCGTTTTGGATGCGATGCTTWATGTGAAGCTTCGATGATGTGTTCCAGAAGAGTAATCAAAGAGACTATACAAGCAAAACAGCGAGTTAATGATGATCAAGACTGACAATCTGTTTACATCAAGTTTGCCAAATGTTGATGACAAAGATTTTACGAATAAGCACTTAAGAAACCTTAATTGTATTAGTTACCAAACATACATCAATAATACATTAATAGTCGTTAATAATAATCAAACATCAATAATTATAATTATGAATATTAATCATACATTGATATTTATATCTATTTCACACAATGATAGTCGATACTCTTTATCCTCGCAAATATTCCAAACTCTAACTTAAGTTTAAAAAGATTTTTATGTCACACAGTTTATAACAACTCGCACGATCTTGTTTTCGTTGCTTCGTCGTCGTCTTTTATTTCTTTTCCTTTTTGGGCGTCTTCATTATTATTAATCAACTTTTCTTCCTTGATTTCTTCGGTTACTTCATCCTCCATTTTTGACAGCGCGTTGGCACACTTGATCATGTCTTGGACAAGATCACATTCTTTGAACCCCAATCGTCGCCAGTTTGAGATGTCAATCCTGTCAATCACCTCTGAATGCTCTCCGGTCGATCCTCTCGCCTGACAGCCTCGTTCTCTTGCAAACTCGTCGATGGCTTTAAAACCCATGGACTTGATGAGTTTAGGAACCAAGATGTGAACAGAACCTCTCATACCCGTCCCTAAGTTGGTCGGACAGCACGTAATGCAGCCATGACTTGAATTGCGCATGAAGACTTCTTCAACTCCAAGCTCCTTCTTCAGTCCTTCCTCAATAGCGGCAATACCACGTGACAAGCGATCAAAGACGCGTTTGACGTCACCTCCCTTCTCCATGGAGATAATTCTCAGATGGTCCCCTTCGTTGATCCAAAGAAGGAACTCTTTGTTGTGAGACACAAAGATGCCACGCCCATGGGGCCAGTGCTCGTGGTAGCCTGATGCTGCCTGCATCTTGTCTTTACCTCGGAACAAGAAGTGGTCATCAATCAGTTGTTGCTGCTGTTCAGGGGTCATTGTGGTATGACGGTAG